ACAATCAGGTTCCAGTTCTACAGATGGCCTGCAGATCTTTTAGTATCTTAGCCATCACCTATGATTAGACTAGACTTTGGTCATTTTATACTGAAAATTGCTGAAGGAAAAGTCTTCATCAATACATTATTCACATCTGAGTTAGATTACAGGTAGTCCTCGACTTACAACAATTCATTTAGTGACCATTCAAAATTACAACGGCACTATAAAAAGTGACTTATGACTGTTTTCCACGCTTACGACCATTGCAGCATCCCTATAGTCACATGATCAAAATTCAGATGGTTGATATTTATAATGGTTGCAGTGTCCTAGGATCATGTGATCACCTTTTGTGACCTACTGACAAGCCAAGTCAACAGGGAAGTCAGATTCATTTAACAACCATGTTATTAGCTTAACAAATGAAATGATTCACTTAACAACTATGGCAAAAAAAGTTGTAAAATGGGGTAAACTCATTTAACAAATGTTTCACTTAGCAACAGAAACTTTGGGCTCAATTGTAGTTATAACTCGAGGACTACTTGTATTTCACTGTGTTCTGTAAGATGCATGTGTGGACAACTCTGGCATAGTCCAGAGGTTCATTTCAATTATTTCAAACTGTAGTTTGAAATTTTAAACATAAAACAAAAATCCGAAAGTATTTCTGATATACTTGGAGTTTTTATGTTTTAATTATATAAGCATATTTTAAAGGACCTATTTTTAAATTATTTTATTGTAATATAACCATTTTACATTTTACCTATTCTTTAGGATTTTGCTCTAAAATGTTACACACACTTGTATGGAAATTAAATACTAATATATAAATTGCAAATATTTCCTGACCCAAACTAATAAAAAATGAATATAATTATATACATAAGAATAAAAAAAATATTGACCATGTTCTATATTGGTAATTTATTAAACATTAATATTAATATTGGGTCTATTTCCTGGTATAAACTGAAAAGTAATTAACAATATTTATCTACAAAAAGCAGAAAATGATACAAAATGCTCTGCAAAACAATGGATCTCATGTAACTTCTACAATGAAAGGTACTTGCATTTGCTTATTCAGAAGAGCATATCCTATTAATTAGAACATATGTTTTCTAATCTCTTGGGAGTCCTATGACAAATGGACTACAACCCACTGAAGAATTACTACACAAAGATTTTTTCAAAGCCCAAAATAGATACATCTACAGGACATATCAATTTTCCCCAGAGTATTTAACTTAACCTAATTTGAAAGGGGAAAAAAGACATTTCTTATAAATTTAATTTCTAAATGGTTGGAGGGTTGAACTTTTTGTAAATGCTAAATTAGGCATAAATACACATGTTAGTAACATAGAATAAGCAAGATCAGGCTTAAGAGCTGGTTAACTTAAAAGACAAATGCTGTTTCAAACATAATCTTTATATCTTAAAATCGTTTTATCCAGTTATAATATAGGTGAAACTTCTGTCATTTATTAACTAAATATGAAAATGATGTAATATGAGAGTACAGCATATAACCTTGTTACTGTATTTTAAAAATAAAAAATTTTTATACAGTACTTTTAAAATGAAAACAAGTTTCAATAAATCACATTGTGGCTCACAATCTCATATTTATGTGTGAATATACATCTTGAGATTCTGTTTCTGATTATGGCCCTGAAATTCTCCTTTCAATTGCTGATTCAGATTTTTTCTCACTACAGAAGATGCAGAGAGCTTCCATTTTTCAACTGCTAACATATATTTATATAAAAAATGTTATAAGAGTTTACCAAAAAATAATGTTAATTTTAATCTTAATCACATAACTTTTCTCTACAGATATTTCACATCAAAATTTCAGTACATATTATACTCCTGAGAATAAAATGGCTAAATATGTAGAAATACTAATTAAAGATCTATTGTTTTCAATGAATAAATAAATCTAACTTTTCACAACTTGTTTGTAATTTTTTTATATTATTTTATATTATGAGGATAAATCAAGGATTTAGACTATTCTTGATAGTCATTTTAGTATCAATGATACTGAAAGCATATTTTTACTACTGTAACAATGTATTTATTCCCTATCCTTTAGCCAAGATGAATTTCCAAAGAATGTTACAATTACTATCCACAAAAAAGTAAATATATTAAAAATGAGAAGAGTGTTTAACAGACTCAAAACCTACTTGTTTTGAAGAGCAATTAGCTGCGATCACCTATAATAAGGTGTAATTTAATCTTACCGTAGTTTGATAAATATAAACGGCTAGATTCCTATGTTACACTAAATCTTTCAGAAGGCACAATGATTATGTTTATACAAGAAGCTAAACCAAAGCCAAATAAATTACACCATGGCTTAATATGACATTTACACCCAGTCAACATGTTAGTCTTAGCAGCAGAAATTCCCTTATATGAAATATGCCAGAAGCTATGAAACATATTGCTTAATAAAAATATTGGGTTTTAAGGTCCCACAGGGTTGTATTTTCTACTGCAAGAGATTGTCATAACAACTGCACAGGAACACACCAAGAATGCAAAGTAAAGGAGAAATTTTACAGTACTGGAAATATTTGTATTATTTACTCAGTTGTTTGCAAGCTTTTGGTAAAAGTTTTCTGAATTTCAGAGGGAGTTCATTACATGCTATGCTTTTCTTAGATGGAAAATCAGAGAGGTCAGTAATTTTACAGCTACAATAAGCTTAGTTAATGCCTTAAATTTATATAGGAGGGAAGTTAGCCTATACTACCTCAGGTTATATGCTTCTATGAGACTTTGCCTTATTACTAGATCCTCAGTTTTGTTCTCTAGTATAATTACACTGTAACTTTCTCTTTTAATAAATTTATTACACATGACAAATTGAGAATGAAGTTTTACCTCTGAACCATTGCTGCTAACTCTAACAAACTTATAATTTCTGGAAATATTTTCTGCAGGGTGGCATAACGGCTTGGCTGTTAAGATGCTGGGCTTGTTGGCTGGAAAGCCAACAGTTGGTACCCTAGCATGGTGAGCACCTGTCTTTCTACCTAGCAGTTTGAAAGCATGCAAATGCAAGTAGATAAATAGGTAACACTTTGGTGGGAGGAAACAGAGTTCCGTGGCATCATACTGGCCACATGACTGCAAAAATTTCTTTAGACAGCACTGGCTCAAAGGCCTTGAAACAGAGATGAATGCTGTCCTCTATATTTGGCAACAACAAGCAGAGTAAAATCTGCAGGGAGTATTTCCTTTCCTTTCTTGTTGCAAATTTCCATAAATGTGAATTTTAATTCAAATTCCCAAGGAAATGTGTACTAAAAGAACTGAAAATCTTCTCCATCACTTCTTTATCTATTGGTAATATAACTGAAAACACATTGATAATAGGCAATGTAGTTTAATCTTTAATTGGCATTCTACATTGCAAGACTCGGGTATTCAGTGAGATTATGGACTCCTGACTCCATCTTTTCATGTAGTCTAATTTGGCAATCAAACTAAAATGCAGGAAAATATGCAATTTGGCTGTTTACTAATGAAGCCCTCTTTTTTTCTCTCTAATAAGATTGTGATAACAAGACATTCATAAATTTCTTTCCTGTTTCAAAGACTCAGAATATATAGTAAATGATGTAGTAATGTAATAAAGTGTTAGCATTGCAGTAAAGGTAGGCAATAGCAAACATTCATTTAAAATCTATTCAATTTTAACAAGGATCAGCTTGTTATCTTTCATACCTCCACTAATTTTCGGCTCGGAAATCTTTTCTAATATTTTTATATGGCGAATTTAGCTTAAAAGAAAAGGATCAAGAAGGGGAGCTGCTCTATGCAGTCGTATATAGAAAAGGCGGCGGGGGGGGGGGAAGGCTCAGAGCTTTCACTTCCCAAATAACTCTTACCGTGAAAGTGACAGGCATCACTGGGGCTTCGCATACTTGTACTTATTCGGTTTCTGAGTGTAGATAGATCTAGCGGAGGGAAGGTATGATCATGGTTTACCCCTTCTCTGATGAGCAACGACCAGGAATGGTAATAATCTTGTCCTTTCCCGCTCTCCAGTAGTCTCCGAAGGCAAAGGCAATTCAACGAGACCAGGCCCACCAATCTGGGCTTGTCAATAACCGATCCCACGTTCCCGTCTCTTATCATTCGCCTCTGAGTCTCTTTACCTCCAACACCTGTGCGGCTCACTTTTCCCATCATCTTTCCAAAGTGAAGGTCTACGGAAAGAACTTACCTGGGATAACTCAGGAGCCAGGAGAAACAAAGTAGGCCTCTCCCAGGACAGGTGTCCTGAGCCTTGATGTAGCTAAAGGTGCCAGTCTCCCAACCGCACCCTCAAAAACCTCCACAGGAAAAGAGGAGCTTTTCCGCCGTTTCCACCGTGAGAGGAAGCGGCTCGGTTTCTATAGCTACTTCCCGCGAGAGTTCCTAATGCCTAATCCCTAGCAATCGTCTCCCTCCCCCACGAGGTTTGACTCCCTTTTCCCCCACCCAACGCGGGCATTCCCAAGCGCGTGACGCCAGCCCTGACGTCAAAAGTCCAATCTGTCAAGTTTAATCAATGCACACAAAATGAAATGTGTTTCTTTTTAAAAAATAATAATAATAATAAAGGCTGCAGTCAGTCTTTTTAAAAACTCCTCTATTATTCCATTATCTCTAGGCTGTTGCTAAGTAACCCACCGACACAACGGGAGGAGTTCGTGTCCTTTCCTCTCCTTTTGTTATTTGGGGATATTTTCAAACATATTCTTCTAAAAACTGGGAAGTATGCCTCTTGCTTCCTCCCCCATAAACTTCAAAAAACTGTTGAGAAAACATGACGTGAGAACAATCCGCCACCTTTTCGCGAAATAACGGAAAACAAGATGGCGGCGCGGGAGAGCGTTTCATTATTTTTTTTTCCTCCTTTCAAACCTACGGGAACCCTGCCCCTTTCTTCCCCCAGCATGCTTTGCGCTTTTCTAACGAATTTCGTTAGGAGTTTGCCGTTTGGGCGCCATTTTCGAGTGTAGAAGCCGCCAAGGCTGCAGGCAGGAAACGAAGGTGTCTGGTGCTGCAGGGGCTGCTACTCGGAAACTTGCTGGCCCGCGGTCCTAGTACCAACTCTGCTCGTGGGTGAAGACGGAATACTTAGTAGCTGCCTGGTAAGCTCATCATTGGATATAATATTCCTGCGTTTTGCTTCAGGAGATATATTTGAGGAACTCGCTGGGATTAGACCGGAGGTTAAAGCTTCAATACGGTAAATAATTATTGGTGTGTATGGGGAAGAGTATTTGATTCCGGCCTAATTGGGAGAATAGAAATTCCGCGCAAATTTGTCTCTTGTACGAAAAGGCACTTGCTTCATTTCCCCCTTCCCCCAACCGGCGGACACTTTCTTCTCCCCCGCTTTTCCCACTCCCCGCCACCGCGTGGGGGAAGGGGACAGAAGGCATTGGTTGGCTTTTTTTCCGTTGCCTGTAATAAACGCCAAGTTGACTCCCTAACTTTTATTCTCGCACAGCCATTTTTTTATTTGAAGTAGGCTGTCATAGTGCCTATTCCGCTCAATTCGTATTATTTCTATAAAAAGTGATGGGGGGGGTTAGAAAAATTAATTAGCCGTTTAAATGATAACGCTCAGCCTGCTTTTTTTTCCAATGTCTTAAACTGATTATTCTAGCAAGTGAGCACTTTGAAAAGCATGCATGCCTTCGAAGTGCAGAGGAGGGGAAACTTATTCCAATACATTCTTTCAGAAATTGGCAAGACACTAATTTTTAAAACTTGTACATTCAAAAGCAGCAGAGTTTTGATTTTGCGGCTCTGATCTGATGAGTGATATTTTGCATTAGGTTCGTAAATCTGTTAGGAAACACCGCTACTTCGACCCCTTATCGATGCAAGTTAAGAGGGGTGAGGAAGAGGTGATGGATTTATGAAGGTTAGAAATCTGATTTTTTTTTCTCCTTAATTTTCTACAGTTTTTATGAAATGCTCTCCATAAGGTAGTTTTTTGGAACTTTTAAAATAAACTCAAATTTTGATTCCTGTCAATTGGATTTTTTGGGATTTTGAAGTAATGAAATATGTAATTTACGTAAGTCTCAGTTTCCTGTTATGTTAATAGTATGTTTTTTGCTAAAAATCAGAAAGATAATTGCTCCAAAATACTATGCAGACTGAGTCAAACCAACACTTCAATCTAGATTAGTGGTTTTTAGACATTTCTTTAATACTAATATCTAAAAAATTCATGAGGCATAAAACAATCATGCTTTTCATCTTGTATAAACCAAATTATGAACCCATCTAAATTTTAAGATCTGATTTTTATAAAAGTTTTATTTTTTTTCAATTTTGTAACTTTTGACTTTAGAATAAAATCAATATATCTGGATCCCATTATATTCATTTAAGTTCATATTAATATATTTTTAAGAATTTAAGTGCTAGACCAGTTCTCTACTGCAGAGTACTTATTAGGAATTCATTTTCGTTTTTTTATCAGCTTGAATTATTTGTTGGGATAGTAGGACAGATGTAAATTGTAATTTATAATATACAATCTGCCTTAGTATGGAAGATATCTGCTGTGTAAAGATAGGAAAATGCATGCCGCTATCATAAATAGTTTGCCAATTTGAAATCCTTGCTGTGATCAATTAATATTTGGGAGTAGATGCAAGTTTTTATAGTCGAGGTATAGGGTTTTTCTTTTCTCTTTTAGTACTTCAGCACAAAGGGAAACAAAACACACAGTTTTTATAGTATGATTGTTTGGAATTGAAACAGACAGAAATCATGCCAAGCAAAAGAACTAAAGTATCTACGGCAGCCCATCAAAAAGGCAGTGATTCCTTGGAGGAGTCCTCTAATGATGGGATACCTGAAAAAGAAGCGAATATGTACCCCTCTGAAGTACTTCAGCAAGGTCAGTCTCTTATTGACCTGATTTTGTTTATTATTATGTGCTGGCTTGTGTAGTGATTATACAATGTTCAGGTAAAAGTGGTGTTTAAAAGCAAATTTGGAATTTCAGGGAAAGTTAATTGCCTTATTTTCGGTATGTTGTGATATCATGACATCAATAATTGAAGTAGATAAAATTTTTGGAAACATTTGGAGAGCAGTATTTGTACCTTATATACTGGTAGACAATTACTCATCATGCTTAAGTTTGTGTGTGTGTGTGTGTGTGTGTGTGTGTGTGTGTGTGTGTGTGTGTGTGTTCTCCAGTAAAAATAAATAACTGCCAGTACAACTTACTTATCAAATATTAGTAAGTGGATTGATACTGAACATTGATACCATTTATTCAGAGAAAAGTTTTTCTCAGGGAGTTAGTAAAAAGTCTAAGTCTTGCTGAAACATAAATGGCCAGATTTGTGTGTGTGTGTGTGTGTTTGTGTTTGAGAGAGACAAACTTCCTGTCTTTGAGAAGTAGTGCTGTTGCTGTCATTAGAACTTGCAAGGCAGTGTATAGTTAGCAACCACAGTTTGCTGAACCTCTGGGTGTGCCTGAAAATGCAGGAATATGGGAAGATTTTTCTATTTACTTTGATTTATATGTATAAAGGTATTTTCTAATCGAGGAAGGTACTACATAGAAAAAAAATGATTGCTCTGAGAATAGAATTCTGATGATTGAATTAGTCCTGAAGGACTAATTGGGAGAGATGCATTCTAGGTCAGTTCCTAATAATTCAGTCTAATTGTACAAATATGTTGATCCTGTTACACTAGTATAGCTTTAAAAGATGAAGCTTTTACTTCCACTGATAATATGTGTGTGTGTGTGTGTCTGTGTCTGTCTACTGTAGTTATTAAGTATATCAGTTTTCTTGTTTTTGAATATCTTTAGCAGTATCAAATGGAGTTGATCAAAGTTTAGAAGAAATTTTGAGTAGCATCTCTCCTCCCCCACCTCCAGCTATGACCAATGAAGCTGGAGCTCCTCGTCTCATGATAACTCACATTGTAAACCAGAACTTCAAATCTTATGCTGGGGAGCAAATTCTAGGACCGTTTCATAAGGTATCTTTCTAGTTTATATAACTTCTAAGCTGAAGTAAAGATTTATTGTGACTTTTCTACTTAATAGTTAAATAAATTACATATTGGCAACTAACACCGAGGTGGGGGGGTAGAGCAGATGAAAGTCTCAATTACTATTGTTTGTACTTTTCAAAAAGTTGCTTGTTGTGGAGTTCAAGAAGCTAAAAGTATACACAGTATTTTCCTAGTACATATGAATAACAATCGGTAATTAAATAAAATAATCTTTTACAGTTTGAAGCATTTTATTGATGCTAATTATGAACATACTTGTTTGTAGCATTTGGTTTATGTTTTTGGTAAAACTTTAGAAATGTGAACTAATAGGGGGTGTAGTTTGTGTGCTTTATCCTTGGCAATAAAAACTAAGCTTTCCAGTACTATACTTCATATTTTCCTGTACCATGTTTAACTATATTTTAAACCATTGTGAAAGGTAGAGAGATCAATTGTTAGGAACTATTAAGCTGCTATGTATTTTTTTTGTGTGTGTGTGTGTTAATGCAGCGTTTTTCATGCATTATTGGACCAAATGGCAGTGGAAAATCTAATGTGATTGATTCCATGCTCTTTGTTTTTGGCTATCGAGCACAAAAAATAAGATCCAAAAAAATTTCAGTACTGATACACAATTCTGATGAACATAGTGACATCCAGAGCTGCACTGTAGAAGTTCATTTTCAAAAGATAATTGACAAGGTATGTTTTTTAAACCTGAAGAAGCTAATCACTTAATGCCTTATGAATTTTTAATCATGCAGTTGATTGAATTTAGGTAGAAAAACACTGTGGAAGTAGTATTGAATTTATTCAAATTGTCTATAAAACAATGACATTTAATATTCATTTTCTTCTGTGTAAATGTGTTAAATTGGGGAAAGTGTTTACTGTATACACAATTTGCAACATTCTAGACATTTGCTTTGTATGAAATATGGTATAGCTACAAATGTATATTGCTAAATATTTTTTTAAAAAAATTCTAGATAATTCAAGGATATGTGGTGTGTGGGTTTGTATTTGGATATGTGTGTGTATACACACACACATGTATAATCCTTTCAGTATTAACTTTTTTTTAAAAAATGATATAATTTATTTAAATTTTCAAATTATACATTTAATGATAGTTACTTTTGCAAGGATTAATTTGAAGTTAAATTTGGGACTTATTTTAATGTTTTACTGTTACAAAAGATACTAAAAAAATACCCACCAATAACATTTTAGTGACTTAATAGTCTAAAAAGAAATTGGATGGAGGAATTTTGTATAAAAGTGATATTAAAGTTGGTATTTTTCTGACGAAAGAGAATGGAATATATTAAAATGCAATAATTTAAATATAATTTAAAATATTTTTCTTATAAATTTAACCATGATATATGGTCATTTGGCTATTAGACATAATTGGATCATAGCTAATTTTCCATTTATATTAATACTGGCTTTCTAAAATGTATTCTCTACCATTTTTTATTAAAATAAATTCTTAAGGAATTAATCTGGGAAAGCAAACTGTTACCTAAAATTAGTAATACAAAAATGAAAATAAAATAATTTTGGATTTTTATCAAAATCTCTAAAAATGCTTCTGAAGCAGGAGACTGGGTAAATGTGTAATTTTGATGTTTTTGAAATTATACATAATCCCATTTTTTTTCAAGTTTCCTCATAGAAATGATTATAAAGCAATTACAAGTGTTCAAATACTAAGGCTTTCATTAATACATATTACAAGTATTCTAAAGTGACAAGACTATGCAAGCAGTCCACAATATAGAAGAGAAGCATCTTTTTCATAAGATGGCAACAGATGAAGTGTAAGGTGGAATCCTGTATACAATTATTTTAGACTCTCCCACTGAACGCAGTTAAGATTACTCAGTTAAGTTTACTCAGGAAGAAAGGTGTGTTTGATACTGTTTTGGCAATTGAATGTGGATCTTTTGTTTTCTAAGACATTGTGATAACAAAAATACTGGTATGACTAATACAGTACATGCATTGCAAAATTTATTCTAGCTTCAGTTGTAGTTTGAATATAAAAGATTTGTGAAATAAAATAATTTTGAAATCTGAAGTAGAGAAATGACTTAATACTAAGATTTGTTTTTCTGGTTTTGTTTTCCTTCAAAACAGGAAGGGGATGATTATGAAGTCATTCCCAACAGCAGTTTCTGTGTTTCCAGAACAGCCTATAAAGATAATTCTTCAATATACCATATCAGTGGGAAGAAAGCAACTTTTAAAGATGTTGGGCTTTTGCTCCGAAGTCATGGTATTGACCTGGACCATAATAGGTTTCTGATTTTACAGGTACTCTCTAAAATAATTTATTACTTCATATAACTCAATATATTTTATTAGGGATTATGGCAGTTCTGTTCTGGAAGCCTCAGAGTACTATAGCAGCACATCATGATTTGTGTTTCATAATAAATATGCAAGTCATTATTTGCTGCTTTAGAATTTTAAGGAAGAAAACCAATTAAAAAGTTTCTGATATTAGATTGATTTCATGTGTTAAATAGGCATGTGGATAGAATAATTCTTATACTTGTTCCGCTGTAGCAGCACGTAAATATTGGTGTAGTAAAGATAACACCAATATTATTGTGCTGCTTAAGCGTGACAGGGATTAACCAACATTTGGGTCCTGTTACATGTCATGATAATGTCTGTAATTTTTAGTACATAATTTATTGCAAATTAATGAAATACGTTTTACTATTCTCTGTGCCTTTTTGTATTAGTAGATTAGAAATATAAAATTTTCATCCCATTCTGTAATCTTACACAAATAGTTAAACCTGTTTTTGGACAGAAGAGTGTAAGGCCTAAAATATTAATTGAGGACACAGGATTTAATAGTAAATGTAAACAGTCATATTGCTTAAATTTTCTTTCTTAGAAAAAATTTAATGTAACTTGATATTTACTAATTTCTACTTTCTGTTTCATGACGATGGCTAAATCCCTACAGTAATCACCAGGAATGAATTGTGTCAAACCTAGTTTTTTTCCTACATTATAAATTTTAAAGTAATAAGCAGGAATAAAATTAATTGAATAAATAATGACAAACAACATTTCCCTAAAATTACAAATGGTATTTTATTAAAAGGTTATGAAATAATTTTAAAATAACTAAAATTCTATTTAGAAGATTTTGAGTTTTTATTTAGTCAGAAGCAAATAGAGAAATATTGTAAAGTTTGCAGTACAGAGAAACTTATATGAATTTCAAATGCTCAAAAGTAAAGTTTGCTCCAAGACTGAGAACTTTGAACACCTCTAACATTAAGAGTTAGTATGGATTAGCTAAAAAGTCTTTGTCCATGTACAGAGGCACTTATATGTCATAGGTGACCTTTATGTGATGCCATATTCGTTTTATAGCTGCTTAAAGTTATATTAGTTGTACTATGCCATCGCTTAATTCTTAAGGAATGGGATCATGTAGGTATGCATACAATAATTTGTTTTTCTTTTTTACTAATGCTTCCCCCCTTTTTTTTTTTTAAATCAAATGCAAGCATAGCATCAGATTCTAAATCTTATAAATGTAAATCACACTGAATTTATTGTTAAAAATAAGAGTAATGATATCAAGAATTGTATCTTTCACTCAGGCCTACTCATTTAGATAGATACACACATACACAATTCTCTACAGTTTTACTGTACAAAATATGTTTCGTAATATGTGAAATATATTTCAAAATAGCATATTCTATATTTTGAGTTATTAATAGCTGGTTCCTAATTTATTCTGAAATAAAAAAGTATAACTTAACATTCATAATTTAGAGGCTTAATTTTGAAAAGGTATTTTATTCTTGATTGAGCACATACTTTCCCCATGAGAGATATAAAAATTATAAAGCACAATTTTAAAAATAAAGTAACTTCAAGTTAAGTTACGTACAGCTTTTATATGAATACAATGTATAGAGTTGGAGTCCTGCCAATATACCTTTGTGACTCTTGATAACATGAATAATTTGTAATAAGCAATATCCTTGGAAGAAATTATTTTTGATGATTATGCTTGATTTGAAAGTCAAACAATATAATTTATAGTTTTAGACTTTTAAAGTTTTTAAGCAATATCTGAGCATCCAGGCTCCCAGACTGAATTCGGTTGATTCTCCGAAACACTGTATCCTAATCAGAGAAACACTTAAAGACAGGTGGCTTTATTTTAAATCAAATGATTTAAGACTATAGTCCTATTGCACTATTCTTTGGAATTACTTTTAATAGAAAATGAGCTAACATTTAAATGAAAAAAATGTAAATGAAAAAAATGATGTAAAAAAATGATGTAAATGAAAAAAAAATAGAAATAGTATGTAGGACTGTAGTATAAACCATTAAGGAAAATAGGTAAAAATGTAAGATGTTTCTGTTTACTACTACTAATAAAGAAATGTGCATTTTAAGTGCTTTATTTTATAAAAGTTCTTGTATATTTACATTGTTGCTACATTCTTTTTCTATGATCAATCCATATTTTTAGAATATGACAGGGATAGATTGCTTGTTACCACCTTATTACAATCTTGTTGCAAGTTTAATATTGTAATTTAGAGTGCCTTTAGAAGTGCTTCAACTTTTGGGACATGCAGAGGAGATTGGAATAATAGTGAGAAATGGAATGAAGTACCATGTAATGTTTTTGCTTAGGGATGTGCCTAAGGAGTTTCTGAAATAGAATTATCAACTGCTTAACTCCTCATGGCTGATGATAAGGGATGTCGGGAACTGCGTTGGTTGACTTAATTGCACTTATGGTAATAAATCAAACATGGCAGCTTAAAATCACATTCTCAGATAGGATACATAACATTTATAGAAAGACATCTTGGTAGGTTTGCTGGGTTGACTAGGTGAACCATAGGATTTATTTTGGAGCTGGAATTGATTATGACTCTGTGGCCTTTGGCTAATAGAATTAGGATCATAACAGGTTTTGGCTAGAATCCAAAATAGCCCATACATAAAAGGAAAAGGTTTCTCTGAGGGAAGGATGTCCAGATTTTTATTCAGGTTGCAGTTTACATTGTTGAATGTCCACAATGGTGACTGTGAAGAACAATAAGAGAATGCAAAAAAAGATTATCTAATATCTAAAACCTCTTGGATCCCAACCAAAACGTACTAAGTATGCTATATTATGTCTGATTAGAAGTAAGGGTTTTTTCCAGTTGTTATTTCTTTATGCTGATCAGCAGGATTGGCACTCTACTATCTACCTAGTACTATGGAGAGAATAATGATTCAGTTTTAAGTTAATTAATTGGAGGATTTGAATTAATACTTTTGTGCTAAAGTTACTATATATTTTGCTTTGTCTGCTTCTTAATGAAGTTTAATGTTACATTTACAAGATTACATTAAGTTTAATATAAACCAGATTTAAAAATACTATATTTAAATATTTTATAAAACTTTTAAAATTTTAGAAAAACTTCCAATAAGTTTAGTTGGCAGGTTTCAATGTTCCTGTTCTGCTAAATAATTTATAAATGTCATAAATATAATATGTTAAAGTGTTGCATTTTTGAAGAGCAAGTTATTTTGGTTTAAAACTTAAATAAAAACACTTTTAAAATGATATTTATTAAATGGGAAAATATAATTGGATTATATTATTGTATATTGTATTGTAAAATAATATATTATTGTATATTTTAGCCAAATTAAACATGTGTAGCATTATTGGGTTTTTCCCTCAATTAAACAAAACCAGGACATAAATAATTTATTGAAATTGGCAGTCCGTCAAATGCAAAACCTTTGACTGGATTGTGTCCAGGGCATTTTGATAATTCCTGCTGTCCAATGTATATGTCCAGTACAAAACTTTTGTTAGCTGTTTATATTTGCAAAGATGTATTTAAGCCCTAATTATATAATAAGACTTAGGAGTATGTCTTATTGAATTCATCTGGGCTTAGTTATAAGTCATTAGAAAGAATCATATAATGTAACTATCAGAAGGGGCTTTTGAGATAATCTATTCCAGCCCCCTGCAGCTAGCCCTGTAAAAGTATTCCCATTAGATGAACTCTATTTAAAACCCTCCAACATGAGAAAATATGTTACCTCTTGAGACATTCTGTTCTGTTTTTGAACACTTACATTTTTTTTCTTGATGTCCAATCTAAATGTACCCTTTTGTAATTTTAATTCACTATTTTTTATCCTGTCTTCTGGAAAACAGCAGTTCTGCCTTGGCTTCTACATGGTAGCCCCTCAGATTGTAAGAGACAGATATGTAGATATTTTTCTCTATCATCTTGTCTTTTTCAAGATTAATTTGCTATGTTTTGCCATCTAGGTTCTTTACTATCTTGGTTGCTATGTCTTTCTAGAATTGGATGTATAACTGTATCTGTATTTTTTTTCTAATTCAATGTTTTATATTCACCACTTCTAAATAAGATGTAATGTGATCAAATGTAGCTTTCCACAATAAAATTGTGTTTGAAAAACACTATTCCGAAGGATGTGGTATAACTTTATTAAGTCAGTTTACACAGAGCCCACCTGTTAAATGAAAGCTTTTTGCTGGTTATCTTTTGTTTCCAGATGTATATCTGCAGGTTCCCTAATTCTTAAAATATGGGTATATGGGGTGTGTGTGTGTGTGTGTGTGTGTGTGCGCGCGCGCGCACACACACACACACACACATTAAAGGTATGCATAAAATGGAAAATGTGTTTTGTTTTAAATGTAAAACAAACTTTGAGCATTCTCCTACTATTCTGAATAGTTTGTGTAGCAGCCTGCCTGGTTCTTATCTTCCCACTGCCTGCCTCCTTGCTCATCTCTGTTAGTGCCACCAAATTCCTGCAGAAATCCAATCAGTAAGGAATATTAATAAGAGTGCAAATATTCTACTGGTCCATTTGTCCCTGACATTCTTAATCTACCTTCTACTTCCACTGATTGCTCAGTCCTGCTTTTATCCTCTCAACAATTTCTGGCTGGAACAACTCTTCCATTTCAAAAACAAAATAACCTAGTTTCAATCTGTATACAGAGAACACTTCCTAATTTTGGTGTGGACCATCCAATACGCACTTATATGTTGCTCATATGCAGCTCTTTTTAACCATGAGCAATAAAGGATTCATATCAAATTTAGGAATCCTTTATGTCTAATAATGTAATCTGAAAAGATTACAAGTTATGCTGAAGCTTTATTCAGTTTAAACATGACCACATAGCCATAAATTGTTGGATTTCATTAAAATTGATAAGCATGTTCTTAACTTTTTTCCATAGAGTTAAATTATCTGAAAATGCTGATTGTGATCAGATTATATAATTTTGTTTCTATTGTAATCTGATTATAAGAGAAAAATAAATATTCCTATAAAAAAGAATAGGAAATTTTGTCATATTGTGTAAATATTTTAATAATTTTATTGTTTTTCTTTAAAATCTGAATATACCATTTTAGTATCTTTTCCTATTTTAAACATCTTTTCCTATTTTAAAAACAATTACCCTACTGTAAATTATAATTACTATTTCTGTAAAATTAACATTTTTGCTTCAAACTAAAATACAGAATCTATAAATTTAAATAGACACAAAAAGTTTAGTGGATCAGAACTGTGCTACAATCAGAATTTTCTCACTTCCAATATGTATATTCAACTGTATTTAGAACTTTTTAAAAAAATTCTTTGGGAACTTACCACACTTCCCTCTATATGATATAAGTAAAATTTTTCCTGTATATGTGTGTGTCTGTGTATGTCAGAAACAGGACTGTACAAATCTTAAAAGAAACTATGGAAAAATTATTTTTGAGTATCTGCAGTGTTATATACTAGAATCTTGAGAAATATAGTATTGTTGACATCCAAACATTTAAAAAAAAATTCCAAGAATTTCATCATTTTCTTCTAAGTGCAAATAAGATATGAAGTATGTTATCTGAGTCATTCAAATTCAGTTGATCTGAAAAACTGTTTCTGTTTCTCTTAGTATAAATGTCCCCTCCCCAAAATCCAAATATTTCCCATTTTTGTTGCTAATTATCAACAGCAGAAGTGACATATTTTATGGTTTAGAATATACTCATCCCCAATATATTTTCCTATCATCCTGGGAAGAAATATTATTCAAAATGTGCTAGTAGGTCTTAAAGGAACTCATTTGTATCTGCAAATTCTTAGGTTGCTATCCTCAATTATATACACAGACACCTGCCAATAGTCCTATACAACAACAGTTATTGTACTGTAAGGTTATTTCTCAGATCTGTACTTTTATAGATGCATACTTTTAAGTATTACTTAAACTGAAAAGGAATTATTTGTTATAGTATTTTTTTAAGAATCTTTACTAAATCGAAAAATAGTCCATTATATATGGTTATTATGAAAACTAGGACATAATCCAGATAAATATTATTTCAGGAATATTTATTGAAAATACTGAAGCTGTAACATACCACTTATTTTTGTAAAAGCAGTTATCAAGAAGTCCAGTCATGTTTCATCCTGACTTATGACCAAAATTCCAGGCCCAATTGTGATCATAAATCAAGGATTACTTGAATGATGGGTTATTTGTTATTCTTGAATTTACATATTAAACTACAATGGTCTACTAAGAATATTCTTACTATAATATTTAAATACTATAATAAAATTGGTTTATTCATTCTATAGTTGTGATTTTAATGGGAGTTAAAATACATTCTGAACAATATAATTTGCAGATTGGTGGATCAGTTATATTTAAAGATAGTAGAACAGAAGCTACAAACTTCAAATGAAATTAATATGTACTTCATTGCTGGCTGGATTGCGGTTGCCAGTATAATTGTATCATAACTTGCCTTCAGCAACAGCTAGCTGCTAATTTTTAATTAAAAATATGTAGTTTTAGCCTTTAAACTATTGTCTACACTACTATAAGAATTTGTGGGGCAGCCCTTGACAATAGCTTGCAAACTTCAGGTGGCACTTCTCCCTTTGCTGAAATACTTATGCTGGTGCTCTTTGGGTTCAATTTAATGGTTTTTTTTAGTCTACCTTGTAGTATCAGGTCTTCAGTGGAGCTCCTTTTGCAAGTATGTCGTATGCTTAATATAGATAGACAACAAACTGTAGATAGATTTGAGCTTGAAGTGCACATGGAGACACACCAACTGAGAATCCTTGACAGAAACATGTAAGAAACTTGGGAAAGCACATGACTTGAAAAAAGATATTACATAATGCTTTGTGCAAACATAAGTACTAGCATCCTGTTATGTATCTTTTCAATTAAGATTTTCTTGCGTTGGTATACAAGTATTTTTTGGTCGTTATATTTGCAATTTTGGTTAAAGCTCTTGAAGATTCTTTTTATTAAATACCTTGTAGGGAGAAGTTGAACAAATAGCAATGATGAAACCAAAAGGGCAGAATGAGCATGATGAAGGCATGCTTGAATATTTAGAAGATATAATAGGATCAGGACGATTGAAAGAGCCTATTCAAATATTATGTCGAAGAGTGGAGATATTAAATGAACAGAGAGGTGAGAAGGTGAGACTTTAAATTAATAAATTATTCTATAGTTTTAATTTTATTTAAATTATAAATGTAAACTTAAATTATAAATCTAAGAAACCATTGAGTATTATGTTTGTCATATACTATGCAATGCAACTGATTTTTTTCTGAATTGCAACAACCTTGAATGCTGTAAAAGTGAAGTATCTGGAAAGTTCTTCCTTTCATGTGGAATTAACTGCATGCAAACTCAAGCTAAACCCTTTATGATTTTTATATAGTGAATTTGTGAAAACTAATTAAGTAGGTGTAGCTATTGCAAAATAGCTTAAATCTATATGTTCTGTCTAGTTAAATAGAGTTAAAATGGTGGAAAAGGAAAAAGATGCCTTGGAAGGAGAACGGAATAAAGCAGTTGAATTTCTTTCTTTGGAAAACAAAATGTTTAAAGAAAAAAATAAAATCTGTCAATACTACATGTAAGTAGCATCATTTTGGAAAAGATGGGATGGAATGGATTAAATGAGCATATATGAACATATATCTACTCAAATATGTGTTTAGTTTATATTTATGGAAACATTAAATGTGGAAGATTTATTTTCCTATAGTAGTTTGCTTAGATAGCTAGTAAAACCTACAATATGTCTGAGAGAAAAAAAATATTGTTCTGAGCCCAGAACAGGACAGCTTTATTAGAAATATTTCAGTGGAATGTTCTGAGTTGATTGTATTCCAACATAACAAAACTCAAAATGTGTTGAATGTTCAATCATATATAACATAGAAACTTGAAACAAGTCTCTTATTTCTTTGTTTTTCATCCTTGAGACACAAAAATTGATATATGAGACTACTGTGTGTTATATGCTACCTAGGAGTTGTTTATAAAGTATATTATAAAACCCTTTTTAAAATCCCAGCAGTAAATAAATTCCAAGTGACAAGTAAACTGGAAAGATTTTTTTTTTTTACTGCCTGGCCTGCCTGCACAGATAACCATAGAAATCAACTCAGCAAAGAAGCAGTAGAATTTACTTCAACAATTAATGTCAACAGAGCAGAAGCACATTTCTTTGGTTGTATGTGGCTTTTCCTAATGTGCAAGCTAAAACTGTATAGTTTTCAAATTTCTGAGCTTTCCTGCAAAGCTGAATGTCAATGATAAATTTAGGTTCATCAGTCTGAAATAGCAACAGTTTCTACAGTGCAAATGCACAATGTTCAAATTTGCATTTGATAACCTGCTTAAAAAAGCACAATGCATTTAGAATACATTGAGATAGCACCTAAGACATATTACAGCTAATGAATTCTATAGTAGCAAATTTAAAAAGAGCAGTAGTTATCTATGAAATGTGATAGTATGTGCTGAAATGACTTTTCTTCACCTGACATTACCTAAATATAACCATTAGTGACACATATGAAATGCAAAGTTTGCTATTTATAGGCTGATCTTTCCAACTCACCATAGCTTGAAATTATTAAAAAAAAAACTGGGTTATTAGATCATTAGAAGGAATGTGGAATGAAATATCCTGTAAGCTCTGAATAAGTTTGGAACGTTTCAACCAGCTGTTTCAAAACTGTAAGCTTTACACACTTCTGATAGAAATTGTATTATTTCCTATTCTACCAAGCTACCAGTTATGATGATGTATTTTAGTGTAATATTGGTACATTTGGTTGGTTTGGTTTCTGTAATTATTACAATGTGTATGTTTTATTGTGCATTGTTTTTGGCACTAATTGGTTAAATAAAAAGTTTTCAAAAAATAATTTTGGACTACACCCATAGTTCAGTTAAAGTATGTGAAATGTTAAAGTATATGTTCTATTTAATGCACTTCAACCAAAGATAGGAAATATATTGGGTTTGATCAGTATTTGGGCTTACTTACACTTTGCTAAGGAGTGTGAAAAAAATGAGTAAATTACTCATTTCATTGGAGTAGGTTATGAGATGGATGTCAAATAAATTTTATAATTAAATACTTTCCATTCAAACAATGGAATTTAATTGCCAATAGTGGAGTCCAGATTTAACCCATTGCTTTTATAAATCTCCTTACACTGGGCAATGAATCCAATGTAGGGCACTAGGTTTGCTTTGACTTTGTATATTTCAAAGCAGTCAGGTGACTTTAGATAAGATCAATTTTATCCAATATCAGATGCCTTCTTTCTTTCTTTCTTTCTTTCTTTCTTTCTTTCTTTCTTTCTTTCTTTCTTTCTTTCTTTCTTTCTTTCTTTCTTTCTTTCTTTTTCTTCTTTTTTTTTTTTTTTTTTAGTTATGAATTACAGAAGCGGATATATGACCTGGAAGCACAGAAAGGAAAAATACATGAAGACACCAAAGAAGTTAATGAGAAGAGCAGCAAACTGGCAGATGAAATGAGAGATAAGAATGAGGCTCTGAAAGAAGTAGAAAAGTAAGCATTAATTTTTCTATTATTTGGCAAAATGTAACAATATTTGAAAGAGTGCTGTACTTGTTCTATTTGCTGTTCATCACTGGTGCATTTTTTATCTTTTGTAAAAATGATGAAAATAAAATTCATTGGATCATTTGAGGGTTTCTCAAACTGAAGTGTACCTCCCATGGGGAAGTATAGCTAGAGTTCAGGAGAGGCATAAAGAAATTAGTTTGTTAGATCTTTCTCAAAGTTCCATTGTATTGTGTTCATTTTGGTGTTTGTATTTTTAACAAGGTGTGTACAATAAGATTACAATAAAGGGGTGTGTGGACATAAAAGGAACACCTGGATTATGTTCTTATTCTAATACAATGGTTGTTGATATATTTACTTTTTTTAGGAAACTCAATGAAATCACAGCATTTATTGAAGAAAATAAAAATAGATTTACCCAGCTAGATCTGGAGGATGTTCAGTTAAGGGAAAATCTAAAACATGCAAAAAGCAAATCAAAAAAACTAGAGAAGCAGCTTCAGAAGGATAAAGAAAAGGTATAACTGCAATATCATTATGGCTTTTCAAGGGGAAAAATCTATTTAGTTGCCTCTAGATTGTATAATGTAAAAATATGTTGAATATATGGCATTATTTCCAGAAAGACGAATCCTGCTGCTGCAGTTAGAACCTATGAAAGTTTTGTGATCATAGCTGTATTCCTTTCTATGACTTTTCTCTCTTTGTTCTGTTCTGTCCCAATTTCTTCAATCAGGGAATTAATATTTTATTCCCATATCCTAATGCAGTTATGACTACAAAAGATAGATTATTTAAAAGTTTGCTACTCTAGCCCACTCTCAACTTAGACCAGTGCTTCTCAATTATTTTCTGTCATGCCCCCCTAGGAAGAAGAAAACATTTCGCGCCCTCCGCGCGACTGTAAATAGTATCATTTGTCTATAAAATTGTTATAAATACACCTCTGCATAACACTGTATCCTTATTAACGTATATGAGAATAAAAAAAGAAAGAAATGTGGATCAATTTACAACAAAGAATAGCTTTATTAACTGTAGCAGAAAAGATTTAAAGGAGCACAATATTAAAAAAAACTTTAACCTGCAAAACAAAAATATATAAAATAATTTGAGCTGATTTTTTAATCAGAGGTGATGTCTGGATTAATGGCTACAATGAGCACGTTTTTCAATGCATAGCTTTTCGAAGCGGGGTTTGAAGCAGGACACAGCAACTCTCAGCTCCTTCTCAATGTGTAGCCGAGACCTGTATTTTTTTTCTGTACAGACGACCGATTTCCGGGTCTAAAAGTCACATGGGCGGGTTTGGCCAATCAGGATAGAGCATCATGTCTATCCAATCGGATCCTTTGCATGTGTCACGTGCGTTGGCGGTCATGTTGTCCTCCGCGTCAGGCTGCTACTGGGGCTGCGCTGGGACAATCTTCAGTGTTCGCGCCGCGCTGCTCCCTCTCTTCAGCTCTAGAGTTGCTGGGCAACCAATGCCGTGTGGGACGCCGCTTGCGAGTGAGTCGGATGATTCGATCTAGAAATCCAATATGACAGTATTTGCCGAGGTCAAACGAGCCCCCCTTTACGGAGCCTTGCGCCCCCCCTGGGGGCGCGCCCCACTATTTGAGAAGCACTGACTTAGACAATCTTTCGAAGGCTTTATTTCTTTATCTGTAGGCATGTGGTTTTAGGCAGATTCTATATATATAATAAAGTTAACATTAGTATTTGATAACATTTTTAGGATTACATCCAAACTTTAAATAATATAAACTGAATAAACATCACTAAGTTATATCTAGTAGCCATTTAAATAAAACTTGTTCAAAATATTTTTTAACTTTTCCATACTCTATTTATGAAAATTATCTTCAGAGAATCAGGAAAATTATATAATGGTGGAATTTTACTATATATATAGCAATTTATTTAATGAAATAATTTGTGATATTAATTTACAGTTAATATCTGCCTTATAATATTCCAAACCTCTCACAATAGTTAAGAAAGATATTAAATAATTTATTTTGTAGTCAAGTAGTCTTTAAATTAAACTATTTTAGCATGAGTATATTAAAGTGACCAAAAACACCCAACTCCAAACTAAACAAACTTCCTGGAATAAGAAGTTGCAAAATCTGGATTATTCCCCTGAGAAGATTCCTCCATATCATAAGCCAAGAACAGTTTAATTTTTAGGCTGTGTTCATACTTGATTCAGTTTATCTCCTTTGGGAAACATAACTACATACAGTAATTACTATGAAATCTCTTATTAGCCTAATCTCAATACAATGGACTGCATGAATTGGAACCAAATATCTAAAGTGATTTGTGTAGTGACATGCATCATTTACACAATGACATCATTCAAATGAAGTCATTAGTTGACATTTGTATCCATTTGTGTGATGTCATTATTCAAATGACACAGTTACTTTGATGTCATTTGTGTTTTAAGAGGAATTCTTGACCAGCAGACATTTCTTCCATGAGGTAGTTCAAGGAAAAGAGGTTTCACTTATGGTTTCTATATAGTTCATTCTTTTGGTTAGGTTTTATATTTACGTTTATGTAAATATTTATATGGCATGCATATAGCTTTTGCTGCAAAAACATGGAAATACATCTGCATTAAGGCAAAGTTACTGTAAAATGTTTAGACTAGTTACTATTTCTGGCAAACCAATTATTAATGATGTAATGTGACTCTGAATGAGTGAAGTATTATGAACTAGATAATCCTGTTACCCACTGGGTTATCCTTTGAAAGAATGATAGTGCAGTCTGATTATAAGTGAAATAAACATTAAATTTTAGGCTGATCATATGTGTTTTACCCAATGCTGGATAGCCTTTGATAATCTAAGAAGATTATATATCATAAAGATAATTGTAGTGGCAAACAAACTTTAATAATGACTCAACATATAAATGATCACAGGCAGGCTTCCCTGTTTGATTTTGCTTATAGAAAACTAGCAGGGCACATTGGAGAACATGTGACTGGGGACACTGAACAGTCACAAATTGGTGAATAAACTGTCTAAACCAGTGCTTCTCAACGTTTGTGTGACGGCGACCCCCGTCACACAAATGTGCCGTGCATGCGCGGTGCGCATGCGTGGCACCGCCCCCGAGGGGGGAAAATGGCGGATCGCCTTGTTTGGCGACCCCCGAGAAATGGTCGATCGACCCCAAATGGGGTCGCGACCCATAGGTTGAGAACCGCTGGTCTAAACTCTGGAATTTTCAACTCCACCTGAATTTTTATGCATTCTTTAAGTTAGCTGATTTTATGTACCTTGATTTAAAATTTATTGCACTGTAATGCAGCATTTGGACAAAGCAGGATACAGATAAGTAGAGTGAAAGTTTTAGTACTGTAAGTATATAGATAAAATGTCTTGAGGAAAGAAGTACAACAGCATAGAATTCCTGTCTGTTTTAGGATGCATTCTGCAAAAATTGTGCTATATATTGTTATTCATGAATAGGGTATGCTTGCTGCATAAATTATAATGTGTACAAATTCATCTGATCTTTAGATACTACGTATGTTTTTTGATAAAGACAACTAATGAGCAATATCCAAAGCTACATAACTAGGCTTCTTTTTGCTTGTAGGGACTTATTCTTCTAATCTTTACATTTTCAAAATGTCTCCTAATCTTCCAAATAGGTTTGGATGATTCTAAAGAATCTGATTGTAAATTTTCATAAAACTTTTTTAAAAGTAGGGAATTGTTCCATTGAAAAACTAATGTTAGACTTCTCATAGATAGAAGACTTCAGAACTGTACCTGCTAGCAGTGAATCTGCAATTACTGAAGCAACGGCTAAGAGAGGAATTCAAGAAAAAGAAAAAGAAAAACTGGAAGAAAAACTAAAAGAAGTTATGGACAGTCTTAAAAAAGAAACTCAAGGACTGCAGAAAGAGAAAGCGGTTTGTATTAAATCTATCTATCTATCTCTTAAAAATAGTATTTTGTTTTTGCCCATTCAAATAACAGTAAATTCCCAGCAATCAATTATATAATGAAATACAGTTGTCCATATTCTTTTGATTACTATGGTACTATATTTTATTTCTTGGAAATATGTTGCAGCATTAATGTAGTCAGTGTATGGTTCTTTTTTAAAAAAAATTTTAAGGACAGATTGAATGATTATGAGATGACAATTGTATATGTAGATACATATACAGAAAACTGGAGTTTTGAAACAGCTGGATTTTAAAAAAATATCAAGCCCATGGATTATGCTTATTATTTATACTGCACTGGTGAGACCACACTTAGAATACTGTGTCCAGTTTTGGTCACTAGGTACAAAAAAGATGTTGAAATCCTAGAAAGAGTGCAGAGAAGAGCAACGAAGATAAGGGGTATGAAGGCTGAATCGCACAATGAACAATTGAGGGAACTAGATAGATCTAACCCAGGGGTCTGCAACCTTAAACACTCAAAGAGCCACTTGGACCCGTTTCCCAGAGAAAAGAAAACACTGGGAGCCGCAAAACTAGGAGGGAGCTTGATTGAAGAGTTTAATTAAAAAGAAATAGAGGCTGCTGTGCATGAGTTCTCTCTTTCCTCTCTCTCTTTCCTTTCTCCCTCTCTTTCTCTCTTCTCTTTCCTCTCTCTCTCTTTCTGTCTTTCTCTCTTTCCTCTCTCTATTTCCTCTCTTACTCACTCGCTCTCTCTCCCTCTCTTTCCTTTCCCTTCCCTCTCTCCTTTCCCTCTCTCTTTCTCTCTCTCCCCCCCTCCCTCTCTCCGATCTGCTCACCTGGCAAGCTGGCTTCAGGCTGTTCTCCAACAAGCTGACATACATTCTTATTGAGCTGGCTCTTCTGCCCTTCTTGCTTCCTGCAGAGACGCAGACAAGGCAGGAGCTCCACCCAATAAGCTTGTCAGCTCGTCAGAGAACAGCGTAAGGACACCCCCCTTTTTACACACACAGAGGAGGGGGGACGCAAGTGCCTCTCTCTGTCTCGGTCTCTGTCTGCAAATGGCAGAGGAGGCTGGGAGCTGCAGGAAAAGGCTCAAAGAGCTATATGTGGCTCCAGAGCCGCGGGTTGCCGACCCGTGGTCTAACCTAACAAAGAGAAAGATTAGGGGTGATATGATAACAGTCTTCCAGTAATTTACAACTTTTCTCACTACATTTGTTAAGTGAATCACTGCTGTTCTTAAATTAGTAACACAGTTGTTAAGTGACTTTGCTTGTCAGAAGGTCGCAAAAGGGGATCGATCACATGATTACGGGACATTGCAAGTGTCATAAATGTGAGTTAATTGCCAAGTGTCTGAATTTTGATCACGTGGGATGCTGTGATGGTCATAAGTTTGAAAAATGGCCATAAGCCTCTTTTTTCAGTGCTGTTATAACTTTGAACGGTCACTAAGCGAACTGTTGTAAGTTGAGAATTACCTGTAGTGTAGGTAGTTCTCAATCTCTGGTGTGCTTGATTGTCCTTCATTCCTTGTCTTCTCTAATTAGTTCCAGCTAATGGCAGTAAGGATGATATTTGTGTAGGATACTTGGCCAATGCACTTTCATGGGAAGGAATTTGAAAAAAAAATCAATTGCAGGATGTTGGAATCCGCTTAGAATATTCAAAACAGCCCTTTTAATCTCAAAACATTGTGCACACTTATATCTTAATAGAATGACATTTGGCAGAAATTGTTATGGAAAGTTGAAATCCACAGATATATTAATTTCTATAGTAAGACAAATCTATTCGTTTTTCCCCTGCCTCTCTCTTCAGGATAAAGAAAAAGAACTAATGGAATTCAGCAAAACAGTTAATGAAGCACGTTCAAATTTTGACATGGCCAAGTCAGAACTTGATTTGTATCTTAGTTGTCATAATACTGCTGTATCTCAGCTAAAAGCAACAGAAGATGCTCTTCAGACTGCTTCAGGGACACGTAAGGAAAGATTAACTGCTATCAAAGAATTGGAATCAAAATTACCTCAAACAGAGAATGAACTCAAGAAGGTCAGATTTTATTAAAATATTTTTGAGTATTTGAAATGTTTAACTTCATTTGTGATGTTCTAGAAATCTGGGGTGGATAATTTTTTGACATCAAAAACTGTGCTTTAAAAATAAATATTTTTAAAACAGATATTGTCTTTTAACATTTAGGAATGTAGTCATTGATGTGATCTTGTGGGAGTGGAAAGAACCAAACTTGGGGCCATTTTTGGGTCACAGGCTTGCAAATTCTGCATCAGACAATTGAGGGCTGTACATTTCACTTAGTGTTTACTCCCATGTGTCCTTCATGATTCATTTTTACCTTCTTAATGACAGAGTTTCTGATGCTGGAAAGAATTAGTCTCAAGAATGATGAGAGGGTTTTGTTTTTTTTTTTTTTCAAATTTTAATTTTAGCTCCTTTATTCTCAAGGGGAAATCTGAAAGCCTGGAATGTTAGAGATACTATCTCAGGATGCATAGAATATCAACTCTATTCTTCATAAAGAATAAAAGTGAAATTGGCCTGAAGCTCAACTAAATCTAATAAACTGAATTAATCTTCAGATGTACTCTAAACAAACATTTAAACTGTCATGTGTTAGTTTCCTTTGCTGATTTGCTTAGGAACCAGTATATGTTATCCTGAATTAAAGATAAATGTCCAGAAATATACCTCAATATATGTACCTAATTGTGAATCTTGACTCACGTATCACAGCAGTAACATCTCATCAGTCATGATTGAGACCATTCTTTGGGAGTGGGGGGGGGAGTTGGCCAATGTTTTATACTTTTTTCTTTAACTTATGACTTAACATAGTATCTACTGCAAAAAAAAAAAATTTTTTTTTTGCCTATTCTAGAAGGAGGCTTGAATTCATCTGCCCACTTGTCTTTCATGACTCTTTCCTTAGTTATTCTAATTTATTTTGCATGCACAATATACATTCAGGCAGCTTGTCTGAGTTTGTGGTCCTATCCTTATACACATCCACACATTAACCGATACACAACAGTCAGGGTGATTGTTTGTTCTGCTATATTTTAGAAAGTCAGATGACTGTTATTGCTTCAAATTACGAGATCTGTGAAGTATGGATATTTCACACATTTCTGGGTCTCCCTTTAGTCAGCCATAACAGGTTTTAACAACTTCCCCAATACCCTAAATTTATTGGTCTGCAAAGCAAATCATGTCTTCTATATTCTAGTACAGTGGTTGCCAACCTTTCCCTAGAATGCTTCTGATATATTCTCGCGCCCCTTACAAAAGTTTGAAATAACAACAACTATGCATATACATTATAATTTTGAAAACCCAAGTTTTCACACTTCCTGGAATATCTCACACCCCTGATTGGGAACCCCTGTTTTAGTATAAGCTAGAATAGTAGTATCAGTTCGCTGGTGAAGAAATGCTGTTATTCATCCTATATGTTGCCTATCTATACATTATAATTATAAGAATTAAGGTTGCTTCCCTATAGATCAGCGGTTCTCAACCTGTGGGTCAGGACCCCATTTGGGGTTGAATGACCATTTCATGGGGGTCACCAAACAACGCAGTCCGCCATTTTTTTCCCCCTTTTCCTTAGCTGTGCTACTCCCTTTTATTCTATTGGCTTTTGAAAGCCAATAGAATAGACTCTCTTAAATAGAGTTTAATTCTATTGGCTTTCAAAAGCCAATAGGAATTGTCCAGGCTGTGTCTGCCCTGCTGAGACCGCCAAAAGTCTCATTCTGCAAACGGTGCTGCAAGTTGTCTGCAGCGAAGGCGAGCTGTCTGGAAGTTTCCACCCCTCCCTGCTGAGCAACTACTAAAAATGTAAGTAAAAGAGGGCCAGGGTGGGAGGTGGGAGGCCGGCAGGCGCAGGGAGGGTTGCTGGTGCATGTGGGGCCCGGTGGGTGCCTTACCTCCCTTGGGCTGGGCCAGCTGGTGGCCCAGCCAGTGGTCGCCCTGCCACTTGCCAGCTACGCCTCGGCCGGCGCAGGGAGCAGCACCATGCATGCGCGGTGCTCCCGGGCAGGGAAAGTCCTCGACTTATGACCGGTTGGGTAGTCCTCGACTTACGACCGGTTGGATAGAGCTTGACTTACAACCGGTTGGGGGTCGCGGCATTAAAAAGGTTGAGAACCACTGCTATAGATTCTCTATTTTTTACCAGAAATGGAGCAAAATAAGGGGCTCAAATGCAACTGAATCCTCAGATTCTCAAATATATCTAGTAGGTGGTTTCTGATAGAAGAAAATATTTGTAGCTTAGGATTGAACTGTGGGGTTCTTGGTGCCAATTCCACAAATGTTTTCCTAGAAGAAGTGCTGTTCTAGTGGTGCTGCATTGGCTTCTGGGATAATAATCAACAAGAATGGGGAAGATCCCATAAAATCCTGAAAAAAAATTGACTGTTTATAGGCAACTATAGGGATGTCCTTCTTTCCAGAGCTTCCATACTATGGATCAAACAACTCATTCCATTACAGGAAGAAGAATTATGATAGTGTGAATGAGTTAGGAAAGACAGCAGCATTCATGTCAGATTCTACCTTAACTACCCCATAGCTCTCCATAAAAGTCACAGGCTCAATTGTTTACATCAGAAGCAGCTGTAATACAGAACAGAAATATGGATTCTGAATCAGAACTGATTCTAATATCCAGACACTTCAAGGTTGAATATTTAGATCTAAAGCAGTGGTTCTCAACCTTTTTAATGCAGCGACCCCCAACCGGTCATAAGTCCAGGACTACTCAACTGGTTGTAAGTCGAGGACTACCCAACCAGTCGTAAGTCGAGCACTTTCCCTGCCCGGGAGCGCCGCGCATGCATGGTGCCACCCCCTAAGCCGGCAGAGTGTAGCTGGCAAGGGGCAGTGACGGAGCAGGCCGACCACCGGCTGGGCCACCAGCTAGCCCAGCCCAAAGGAGGTAAGGCACCCGCTGGGCCCCACACGCACCAGCAACCCTCCCTGCGCCCGCCGGCCTCCCACCTCCCACCCTTGACCCTCTTTTACTTACATTTTTAGTAGTTGCTCAGCAGGGAGGGGTGGAAACTTCCAGACAGCTCGCCTTCGCTGCAGACAACTTGCAGCACCGTTTGCAGAATGGGACTTTTGGCGGGCTCAGCAGGGCAGAGACAGCCTGGACAATTCCTATTGGCTTTTGAAAGCCAATAGAATTAGACTCTATTCAAGAGAGTCTATTCTATTGGCTTTCAAAAGTCAATAGAATAAAAGGGAGTAGCACAGCTAAGGAAAAGGGGAAAAAAATGGCGGACTGCATTGTTTGGTGACCCCCGTGAAATGGTTGTTCGACCCCAAATAAGGTCGCGACCCACTGGTTGAGAACCGCTGATCTAAAGTAAGGACAAAAAGAAAGACTTACTACTAACTAGAAGAGAGGCTAGACTAGAGGGAAGATCACAGGAATGTCCACTATCTTACAAAGTTCTTTCAGCATTATGATTGTTAGAATAGGAACCCAATTTGTATCTTGTGAACATGGCAGTGATCTAACAACATAAATCCTAATGCAAGGACACACCTTTCTTAATACCCAAATGAACTAATGCAAATAGCAATGACAATTTCAATTCTGTCTAATGGATGGAATGCTGGTAAATTTTGCACATCTGTGGATTCATCTATAGGCATGTGAATTTTCTAAGTACTGACCAAACTGTAGAATAAGTTTCAGATGGCATTATAGCCATGTCATCTCACCCCCCCCCCAGAACCCGTCCAAAAGGGAAACTAGTTATCCTGCAGCCCATAGACTATGAATACAAAAATTTCAGCATTTGTTTTGTAGCTCTAGGAACCCTCCCAGAATGACTGGACACCTAGGTTCTTTTAGAACAAAATAGGATGGAGAAATTTAAGGAACAAAATGTGTGTGCTAATTTAGTAGGAACTTAATGGCATTCATTTCATCCCTTAAAAGTGTTGATTCCCCCTTGCCCCTGAAATGCATCCTGGCCACAATTATTTTTGAAATGTTATCCCTAACGTAGCACACAAAACCTAGTATGAATGGATGAGGATGTACATATGACTTCTGAAGATTCTGGACTTCCTTCAGAACATCATAACAAGCAGATCCCAAAAGTATTTATTACTTCTGAAGTGAAATGCTCTCTGATAGTAACTCTTAGTAGCACTCTTGAAAAGCAGCATATTTTGTTAAGCAATTTATCACAAGCTTTCTCAGTTGAGTATTGCCAGCAGATCTGCTTTAAACACTAGAAATTTCTTCCACAGATATTACAGAATATTTTTTCTTTCAAATATTAACTGTTACCAGCCTCCCCTCTGATACATCTCATTCTTGTAGGACAGTAGTTCTCAACCTTTTTAATGCCGTGACCCCCCCCCCAACCGGTCGTAAGTCGAGGACTACTCAACAGGTCGTAAGTCGAGGACTACTCAACTGGTGCAGCACTGTTTGCAGAATGGGACTTTTGGTGGGCTCAGCAGGGCAGAGACAGCCTGGACAATTCCTATTGGCTTTTGAAAGCCAATAGAATTAGACTCTATTCAAGAGAGTCTATTCTATTGGCTTTCAAAAGTCAATAGAATAAAAGGGGCACAGCTAAGGAAAAAGGGGAAAAAATGGCGGACTGTGTTGTTTGGCGACCCCCGTGAAATGGTCGTTCGACCCCAAATGGGGTCCCAACCCACAGGTTGAGAACCACTGTTGTAGGAGATCATTCTTATGAATGCCTTTTTTCCATGGTGGACAAAGACATTTCCTTCTATTCTTGGGCACGCGCACACACACACATGGTTAAGCAGTGGATATTTCCCTTTCTTTTAACCACTGTTTCTTTTTATAGGTTTCTTTTGCCCACTTTTCTATAAGTAATGCTCTTAAGAACTTAAATTCATCATTTCAAAACTTGGCATGGGCTTTTCCCTCATAGAAAAATGGATTAAGTATTGACCTTGCTGCTGTTAGTTATCTTGCTTCCATGTAAAAAAATGATGTTTGTGTAATTCTTGGGTTCTAATTTGTAGCTTTACATATATTCACATAATCTAAATATGTTGCAACAGATTCATCAATCCATTTAGATAATTGCAAAATGCTCCAGTTCCAAAATTTCCAGAGGATAACTATAAATACATTAAGAAAGTATAAACTAAATTAAACTGTAAGAAAGAAAAACTTATAAGTCTGTTTTTGTCAGGAAGCCTGCCCTAGCAATAGGGAGCCTATATGTTGGTTCTATTGTAACATCATTCCTCTCATAGCCTTGTTTTATCTCTTATTACTGTTTAAATGGATTTGCAAAAATGTTTTTTTATTGTACACTGTCCAATCACTTTTGATGATATGGGCAGTTGTATATTTTATTTATAAATTTATATAAATTTGGAAGGCTTATTTGACTAAATAAGAGGAACAGCAGAAAAATGGTTTTATTACTATCCTATGTCACTTTTCAAAGTTCAGTTATATTATTAGGTATTGCTTGATATGTCTTTTACCCCATCTTATTTGTAGAATCATAAATTAAATGTTATGAATGTATCTGCAGCAAGTCATGATGATCCAAACTGATATGTATACAGTGATGTCATAACAAATATTACCTTATATACTGTCGTATTGATGCCTAAGGCAAATATATAAGTTATGGCATTTGTGTGATATGACATATGTATCATCATTTGCTTCCCCCTTGTGGAGACATATACTTTCCATTTCTTATTCAAGTATCTGTACAATTAATTTTTAGTAGAATTCCCACTTTTTTAAGTAGTTGTGAATATAAGTGTTTCGGTGGATTGGTTGTGTAAGAGTTTTATTATAAAAATATTTTCTGGTAATATCTAACATAAATGTCTCCACTCAGGTAACTCCTAAATATTAAGTTTGTTATGCTGCGTGTAGACTTTAAAAAAAAAATAATGTTGATTTCTTTCTTTTAAGAAAGAAAATGAATTGGATAAACTTATAAAAGAGGAGACGGACTTAAAATATTACATTGGAGATCTACGTCAGAAAGTAGAAGAAGCAAAAAGTTCATTTGCAATAAATAAAAGCCGAGGAAAAGTTCTTGAAGCCTTAATTCAGCAGAAGAAATCTGGAAATATTTCTGGAATATATGGAAGACTTGTAAGCTATTTGTTTTTTTTTTATTATATTGTTATTTTCCCCTCCTTTTTTGAACTGTAATTTAGGAAAGAACTATATTCATTGAGAAAACATGTTATCAGGGAATGGCTGGTCGTAATAAAACTTAATTTGTGGCCGTTGCTTGGAGATTAAAGTATTTGCTTGTTAAGGTAAAATATTATTAAATAAAGATTATTATAAATAAATTATATCCTTATTACTGTCATATACCAGCATAAAGTGCGTTAGAGTCATTAAAAAGTATAATGGATTTAAAATATCTTGATTTAATGAAAATCTAACAAAATTATAAAAAGCTAGAAAATGTAAAAGAAGTGTTTGTTAAAAGCTAAAAGTATATATAAAAAACCTTCTTCAAAGATATGTCTGGTTTCCAAGGGTTTTCTACAGGAAAAAAAAAAGTTCAACATTAGCTTTTCATTTTTAAACATCTGCTAGATATCCAGTTCTTTGGTCATATACCTTTCAATGTTTTTGTTGATATGCTACAATAAACTAGTGTTCTACTATCTTGATTTTATTAGAGTTTTGAAAACATTTAAATTGTAATTTTTACTAAGGAATCTATGAAGGTATACCGTGATTTATCCATTATTGATCTTTCACATAAAACTTATGTGTAAATCATATTATTGTAGTTGGCAGCATTACCCCGTATTTTTATTTCAAACCAGGCTGCATTTATCTACATTCTTTTACACACCCATGCATGTACACAAAGTGGCGTGTTCCTTCAATACTGAAAAGGATTCAAATGTTGACTCAAACATCTTTAAGCTTCAGAGGATTTTGTTCACAACTGCTGGAGAATTAATTGTGCATAAGATAAAAGTTTCCCTTGAGCTGAATTCTGTTACTGGTGTTACATGAAATCTCAATGTTTTCCAAACAGCAATAGGGAAGGACTTTGCAATTGCATCTTCTAGATTTATTATATATTTTAACTTCTCATTCTAGCTTACTGTCTTGATTTTTCCTGGCAGTCTCTCATCGATGTCCAATCCTGCAGAATCCATTCTGGGTTAGTCACTGGGACCAGATATTTAGTCTTCCAAGCTTTCAGATTCTGCTGGAAAACCATCCTCGGAATATGTATACATTCTGGTGAGAGTGCATTCCAGCATGAGTCTGAAACCTCGGAAGACTAAACCTCTGGTCCCAGTGACCAACCCAGTTGGATCCTGCAACATTATCCTGGGATGCGTATATTTGCCTCCAAGTCCAATCCTGTACAGCTTTTTTTCAAGATTTGCTTCAGACAACAAAGTACTGCCATTTGCTTTGATTGACAGTGCTTATACAACTTCAATTAATTTAAGTTAAATGCATATAATTTTTTGGACTCTTACACACTACACATTTTAATAATGAAGCTTAGAACAAAGAAGCAAATTATGTTAATTTCTCTTAATGAAAAATGAAGTGTGTGTTTTAATGAAATTTGTGGTATTTATATGTTAATAAATATTGCTTAGTATCATGTTACTAACTTCTGTTTCTTACCTGTATACTAAATATTTGATATTTTGCCAACAGGGTGACTTGGGAGCTATAGATGAAAAATACGATGTTGCAATATCATCATCATGCGGAGCATTAGATCACATAGTTGTTGATACTATTGATACAGCTCAAAAATGTGTTAATTTCTTAAAGAAGCAAAACATAGGAGTAGCAACATTTATAGCTCTTGATAAGGTTTGTATGGTTTTAATTTGTTGTAATTTTCTTGTAATTGGTAGGGTTTTTTAATTTGGAAAAATGATTTTATATTATAGCTATAGTCAATAAATGTTTTCCAATGACTGATATTTAAATTTTAATATAAAATTGGAACTAAATTTTAATGTCATTTTTATTATCTTGATACATGAAAATTTTTGCCTTTAAACCAATAATTAATATCAATGCTTTCATTTATGTATCCATTAAAATTATCCATGTTTTGAATAATTTTATGTGATCCTCTAACAGAGCCTCACATGTGCTTTAGTAGCTGCTCGGAATATTATTATTTTTAAATAATTAGATCTGAGCCTTGCAAGATTTTGTAGCCATCGCTGTTTTAATAAAAGCAGCTTTAGGTCTATGTCAACCATAAGTAGCCTTCGAATTATAACCGCAACTGGGACTGGAATTTCAATCTTAAGTCATGACAATCATAAGTCAAGACACTTCTATGAATGGATCTGATTTTATGACCATTTTTATGGTAGTTATTAAGCAAATGACCTGCTTGCAAGTACAAATCTCCGAATTAAGCAAATCATATGGTTGTAATCCCAGATCTATCTCCCGAATGGTTGCTTTTTGGCAGAATAAGTACTAATGCTGGAAACTGGCAAATTCATAAATCGCAGTCATGTGACCTTGGGATGCTGCAATCAGTTGTAAATATGAACTAGTTGCCAATCATCTGAAATGCAGTCATGTAATCACCGACTTGATGGCATTGCAACAATCTATGACATCCATAAGTGCTTTTCAAGGCTGTAAATCATCCTTTCCAAGGCCACCGTACCTGAACATTCTTAAACAACCAATTAGAAGTTTACTGCTACCTGTAGTTTTAACTGTTCTCTGTTCATATCCTACCCATTAAAATGCAGCACCAGAAAAGTAGGACAAAACCTATAGCAAAATGTTATTTTGCTAAGAAATTTTTATGGTGTGTTCTCTGGATGCCAGGTTACAGTTTGAAAATATATATTAAGATTGCATCAAAGAAAGGACTAAAAATGTTTTGTAGTATCATTAAGATGCCAATAAATAAATAAAACAAAAATCGATATAACTGAAGCTGTAGATATGCTTATATAATTTTTAAAATTATCAATCTATTGCTTTTATGATGGTTTTCATTCTCCTCCAGATGGCAGTATGGGAGAAAAACATGGGCAAAATTCAGACTCCTGAAAACATTCCTCGTCTATTTGACATGGTGAAAATGAAAGATGAGAAGGTTCGCCAAGCTTTTTATTTTGCATTGCGTGATACTCTGGTAGCCAATAACTTGGATCAGGCCACCAGAGTAGCATTTGGAAAAGGCAATAGATGGAGAGTCATAACTTTGCAAGGACAACTGATAGAACAGTCAGGTACTTTTAAAAATACAATAAAAAAGAAATGGAATGTATATATAAGGCTAGCATTTCTAATTTGTTCTTAATATTTCCATAGGAACAATGACTGGTGGTGGAGGAAAAGTAATGAAGGGTAGAATGGGATCCTCTGTTATAGTTGAAACATCTGAAGAAGAGGTTAGTAGACTGCATAAATGCTGAATACATATTTATTTGCATGACCTTTTCTATTATAACAAATCTCAAAATGCCTTATAATCAAGAACTAAAATACCTACTGTAGGTTTAAATAATAAAAATAACTAATTCAACTTAAAGTGTAAGGAAAGGAAAACAAATGTACACCTACAGCAATCATATTCAAAGCCCTGGAATAATCATATTGAACCTTAAGTGTGTCACAAATTTTAGAAATGGGAGTATTCATGAATAAGATGACACTAATAAATTCCGGATAATACTTTGCTTAACTTATTTACATTTAACTTTTTTAACTTACAATTTATTTTTGCAGGTCCAAGAAATGGAATCACAATTGCAAAAAAAGACTCAAATGGCCATGCTATGTCAGGAACAGAAAGCACAACTGGAGGAAATAATAGCGAAATTACATAAAAATATTAGAGAAATGAAAAACACTTTAGAAAAATATACTGCCAGTATAAAGGTAATAATCATTGTTTATGTTGCATAGCTACATCTTTTTTAGAGGAAACTAAATTTGTGGTCTATTTTTGAGACAGTCCTATTTAAAAATATCACCCAAGAAAATAAATGCAAGATTCTGAATCTCAGAAAATAAAACTGTTCTTTTGAACTTGTACTTTGTAGGTAGTTCTAGAGACTGCCTTTCTACAGTGGTATTTCTATTATTTAATATAACTGGTAGAAGACAACCTTTCTTCAGATTAAGTCATAATGTGAAGGTTTACAAGTTTAAATTCTTCATTTGAGAATGAAGTCATCTAGAATGTATAGAAATTTAATAAATATGTAAAATAAATTAGAATTTGAGAGCAGGTATGTAGATTAGGAATTATGAATTCATTTTAATAAAACACTCTGAAGCAAGTAGACAAAAATGGGATACAGTGGGGCAAAAAAGTATTTAGTCAGCCACCAATTGTGCAAGTTCACCCACTTAAAAAGATGAGAGAGGCCTGTAATTGTCATCATAGGTAGACCTCAACTATGAGAGACAAAATGAGAAAACAAATCCAGACAATCACATTGTCTGATTTGGAAAGGATTTATTTGCAAATTATGGTGGAAAATAAGTATTTGGTCACCTACAAACAAGCAAGATTTCTGGCTCTCACAGATCTGTAACTTCTTTAAGAGGCTCCTCTGTCCTCCACTCATTACCTGTATTAATGGCACCTGTTTGAACTTGCTATCAGTATAAAAGACACCTGTCCACAACCTCAAACAGTCACACTCCAAACTCCACTATGGTGAAGACCAAAGAGCTGTCGAAGGACACCAGAAACAAAATTGTAGACCTGCACCAGGCTGGGAAGACTGAATCTGCAATAGGCAAGCAGCTTGGTGTGAAGAAATCAACTGTGGGAGCAATAATTAGAAAATGGAAGATATACAAGACCACTGATAATCTCCCTCGATCTGGGGCTCCACGCAAGATCTCACCCCGTGGGGTTAACATGATCACAAGAACAGTGAGCAAAAATCCCAGAACAGGGGACCTAGTGAATGACCTGCAGAGAGCTGGGACCAACATAACAAAGGCAACCATCGTAACACACTACACCACCAGGGACTCAGATCCTGCAGTGCCAGACGTGTCCCCTTGCTTAAGCCAGTACATGTCCGGGCCATCTGAAGTCTGCTAGAGAGCATTTGGATGATCCAGAAGAGGATTGGGAGAATGTCATATGGTCAGATGAAACCAAAGTAGAACTGTTTGGTAGAAACACAACTCATCGTGTTTGGAGGAGAGAGAATGCTGAGTTGCATCCAAAGAACACCATACCTACTGTGAAGCATGGGGGTGGCAACATCATGCTTTGGGGCTGTTTCTCTGCAAAGGGACCAGGACGACTGATCCGTGTACAGGAAAGAATGAATGGGGCCATGTATCGTGAGATTTTGAGTGCAAACCTCCTTCCATCAGCAAGGGCATTGAAGATGAAACGTGGCTGGGTCTTTCAGCATGACATCCCAAATACACCGCCCGGGCAACGAAGGAGTGGCTTCGTAAGAAGCATTTCAAGGTCCTGGAGTGGCCTAGCCAGTCTCCAGATCTCAACCCCATAGGAAACCTTTGGAGGGAGTTGAAAGTCCGTGTTGCCCAGCGACAGCCCCAAAACATCACTGCTCTAGAGGAGATCTGCATGGAGGAATGGGCCAACATACCAGCAACAGTGTGCCAACCTTGTGAAGACTTACAGAAAATGTTTGACCTCTGTCTTTGTCAACAAAGGATATATAACAGTATTGAGATGAACTTTTGATATTGACCAAATACTTATTTTCCACCATAATTTGCAAATAAATTCTTTCCAAATCAGACAATGTGATTGTCTGGATTTGTTTTCTCATTTTGTCTCTCATAGTTGAGGTCTACCTATGATGACAATTACAGGCCTCTCTCATCTTTTTAAGTGGGTGAATTTGTACAATTGGTGGCTGACTAAATACTTTTTTGCCCCACTGTATTTTCATTTATTGACAGAAGTTCTTATATCATAAAATCATGTTCAAGAAGAGTAGCTTGTGAGGAGTCTGCTGGTCTGAAGTCAATTGAGAGTTGTCTTTCATGAGGATTATGCAGTACTCATGAACTTGAATATTTTGTGTGAACTGCTAACATGCCTCTTTTTATCTTTAGAGTTTGTTGGATCAAGAAGCTCATTTAAAAGTCCAGGTTAAAGAACTAGAAGCAAATGTAATTGCTTCTGCTCCTGATAAAGTCAAGCAAATAGAAATGGAGAAAAAATGTAATAACTTCAAAGAAGGTAAATAATCTTTGGGGGCTGGTTCATGTCTTGCAAAATGTTGAATTTTACTCTTGGTTCCCCCCCCCCCCCCACACACACACTATATAAATCCATTAAATGTTTTTGCCATTTTTTAAATGTGCGATTTGAATTGGTGTCATTTGAAATCGTTTTATCTTGCGTAGTGATCTCTTTTTGGTCACCTTAAGTCATAACTAGAAATGTTTTAATATTTTCTGTATTTCAAGGTCTTGTTTCATTCCCTTCCATAATTTATTGCAACAGTTTCAAAATATATCCTTATTGCATCATGACAAGTAAAGTACTAAATATTTCAGTGGAACTTTTGTTATCTCACAGTCAGGTCTCCTTTTTCACATTTTTCCCCTCAAGCTAAGTTCCTGCTATTATGTTGTTTTCTTTTGATTGATTTTCTTTTCAGAAAACAAGCCAGAATCCTTTATTACTTTTATCAGCTCTCATAATAATATTTATATATTTTCAAGCTTTATAACATTGCCCAACCCAAACAGTGTGGCTCTGAGCAGCATACAGCATAAACATACAATATATTAAAAAAGAATAAACAAAAAAATCATAACAATAAATAGGCAACATATAAATATAAAATGTAAAACACTAAACAAATATACAAGAAATGAAATCTAGGGGGAGTTGGACTTAACTGGCCCCTAATGTCTGGGAAGAGCCAAGTCTTAGTGGCTTTCCTTAAGGCAAGAATATTGGGCCTGTTGAGAAGTTGATTGTTCTAGAAATCAGTGAAAAAGGCAGATTTCCTGGATCTGATAAGATGACAAAATTTAGAGTGCAGAGCATATCCTACCTTTGGAGATGTGTGATAGAGGTAGATATTCTTGGAACAAGGTGGGATCCTTCAAAGTAATCCATGTGGGGCTTTAAAGGCAATAATCAGCAGCTTGGATCATACCCGGAATCCTATTAGCCAGTACAGTTTAGAGAGTTACATGAGCATAACGAGATTTGCTTGTCAGCCCCCCAGATAAACTAGGCAGGAGACATGACTAGATGAACTAATTCTACTTTATTGTAAGGCTACATTAATAGAATCCTGCAAATCTGAAAGTGCAAACTTCCTGCCACCACTTTTGATTGCTTTATTCATTAGGGTAGGTCCTTCCTAAGTTTCTTACTCTAACCATGAAGCCACTGGGGCTCCTGCCTCTCTTGTCTGATTGTTTCCTAAGCACATCTCTTCCCCTCGTTCCCCAAGGTCATCCATACATCCACGTTTCATTTAGAGTGATCAGGTGTGAGTGACTATGAACAGGGCCTCCTTGTTTGAGGATGAACAAGTGGCAAACAAGACATAGTTGTGCAAAGGCTCCCCTGGTCATAGCTGTTGCCTGCTCTTCAAGCAGGAGCTGAGAATCCTATAGAATGTGCAGATTGTGCACCAAATCTGAATGGTGTAGTGCCACCCAACCAAAACCAAAGATGGAAATTCTGCAACTTCCAGATCTGGTAGACCCAGAGTTCAGTTGATTCCCTTCCACCAACTGGAACTGGCATTCGAAAACCACTGCAAAAAGGTGCCAACACCCATAGTGAACCGGGGTGATACCATTGTTCAAAGGCCATTAAGAGATCAAGGAGAGATGGATGCACCACCTCTATCCTGAGTTAATTGTAGGTCATCAACAAGTATAATATTATTGGTAAAATTCAAAACAATAGTTCTTTACATTTCCATCTTTAATTTTGCAGTAAAATATTAATAAGGATATTTCTTTTTGATAGATTATGACAAAGTGGCTGCAAAAGCTGACAAACTGGAAAAAGAAGTTAAAAGACTACATAATCTCATTATTGAGATAAGTAATAATAAACTTAAAGCTCAGCAAGACAGTCTTGATAAGATAAACAAAGAAATAGATCAGTGCACTTTTGCCATTACAAAAGCGCAGGTAGCCATCAAGACATCAGAAAGGTATGATTTCCTATTATGAACCAACCTCTTAGAGGTAGAATTGCGATATTTATTGTAATTATTACATTTAATTCAATAATTTAACAAATGTATTAAGTAATCCATGTATTAACTGCTGACAGTCTTTTTTGTTCTTATAACTAAATTTTTAATTCTTAATAGTCTGAATTCTGCTATTGTGTCATGCATTGGTTTCAACACATATATTGGTGACTTATTTAAAGAATATAATGAATTACATAGACAAATATTGAGCAAACCCATAACTATTCAAGAGACTAAGGAAGCAATTTAAAATGTTAAATTGACAAAGCACTAGGCCCAGACAGGCTGATAGCCCAATATTATAAAACATAAAGGAAGAACTGTTGGAACCATAGTAAAGAGGTAAGAACAATGAGTGAAATTAAAGAAACACAAATAATACCAAAGACATGGGGAGATGCATATATAATTTTGAACTATATAAAAAAGGAATTAATCCAGAGAACTTCAGACATATAATCCAATTTCTTTAGTGAACATCAATTATAAGCTACAGTGCATTCAGAAAGTATTCAGACCCCTGTCAATTTTGTTATGCTGCAGTCTGATTCTACAGTTGTTGAATTTTTTTTTCTCTCATTAATCTACACTTGGTGCCCCAAAACGACAAAGTGAAAATAGAATTTTAGATATCTCTGTAAATTTATTTTAAAAAATCCTGAAATGTCACATTGGCATAAGTGTTCGGACCCTTCACTCAGTACTTTGTTGAAGCACCTTTGGCAGCAATTACAGCTTCAAGGTTTTTTTGGGTATGATGCAACAAGCTTTGCACATCTGGACTGGAGGGATTTTCTGCCATTCTTCCTTACAAATCCTCTCAAGCTCAGTCATGTTAAATAGCGACCGTTGGTGGACATGCATTTTCAAGTCCCTCTAGAGATGTTCAATAGGATTCAGGTCAGGGCTCTTGCTGAGCCACATTAGGACATTCACGGAGTTGTTCCTAAACCACTCATGTATTGTCCTGGCTGTGTGCTTAGGATCATTTTCATGTTGGAAAATGAATCTTCGGCCCAGTCTGAGGTCCAGAGGGCCGTGGAACAGATTTTCATTGAAGATATCCCTGTACTTTACTTTCCCTCAACCCTGACCAGTCTCCTAGTCCCTGCTGCTGGAAACACCCCCGCAGCATGGAGACGGGACAGAGTTCCAGAATGCCACCACCACACTTCACTGTTGTGATGATATTGGGCAAGTGATGAGTGGTGCCTTGTTTCCTCCAGACATAACATTTAGAATTGAGGCCAAACAGTTCAATCTTGGTTTCATCAGATCAGAGAATCTTGTTCCTCACAGTATGAGAATCCTTCAGGTGCTTATTTGCAAACTTCAAGCGGGCTTTCATGTTTTGCACTGAGGAGACGCTTCCGTCTAGCCACTCTGCCATAAAACCCAGATTGATAGAGGCCTGCAGTGATGGGTGTTCTTCTGGAGCTCTGTCCCATCTCCACAAAGGATCTTTGGAGCTCAGTCAGGGTGACTATTGGATTCTTGGTCATCTCTCTTACTAAGGCTCTTCTCCCCCGATTGCTCAGTTTGTGCCAAACTTCTTCCATTTGAGAATTATGGAGGCCATTGTGCTCTAGCAACCTTCAGTGCAGCAGAGGTTATTGTAGCCTTCCCCAGATCTGTGCCTTGCAATGATCCTGTCTCTGAGCTCTGCAGGCAGTTCCTTTTACCTCATGGCTTTTTCTCTGCTACAGTATGCATTGTCAGCTGTGAGGCCTTTAGAGAGGTGTGTGCCTTTCCAAATCATGTCCAATCAATTTAATTTATCATAGGTGGACTCCAATCAATGTGTAGAAACATGTCAGCAACTATCAAAAGAATGGGAGGCACCTGAGCTAAATTTCAAGTGTTGTTACAAAGGGTCTGAATACTTATGCCAATGTGATATTTCGGTTTGTTCTTTTTAAAAAAATTACAGACACTTCTAAAATTCTGTTTTTACTTTGTCATTATGGGGAACAGAGTGTAGATTAATGAGAAAAAAAGATTTTCAATAACTGTAGAATCAGGCTGCAGCATAACAAAATTGACAAAAGTGAAGGAGGTCTGAATACATTGTGAATGCACTGTATGTATTACTATTTCCCCACTTCGCCCCCCCCCCATGCATCCTGCTCCCGACTCTTAATATTGCTATACTTTTATTTATTTTTCTTGTTTCATTGTCTTACTATTGTTATATTTACATTTATTATAATTTTACATTTTTACTGTTGTAAGCCACTCAGACTAGCCCCACGGGCGGTAATAAATTTAATTAATTAATTAAAACTGATCAGATAGATCAAAAGGAAAATGAACAATAATAGATTTATAATAAATGAACTAGAATAGATCAGCAATAAAAAACTGACAATATTTTCAGATGCAGAAAAAGATTCTGACATTTCTTGTTAGCAGTTTTAAACAGAATGAATACAAGGCAAAGATTTAAAACATGAGCTCATGTTTCAACAGCGAAGAAAACAGCAATGTAGCTAATTTTTCTGCAGAAAATTTGGTCTTTATTGTATTTATGTATTTAATACATGTTAAAAAGGAGTTTCATAATATATGTTTATACTTTATAGAAACCTGAAGAAAACGGAGGATGCAATTGTTCGCACTGAGAAAGAAATTGAAGAAAATAAAAACAATATAGAAATCTTTAAAAAACAGCTGACTGCATTAGACGAAAGAGCTGCTGAAGTTATAGGTAACAGCAAAAAAGCTGAAGTATGTATAACATTTGCTTAATTTTTCAGATGACATTTAAAATAGTCATAATGATACATGAACCCAAAATGAGCTTGTATAAAAAAAAAAAGTAGTATTTTCTACTGAATTCTCTGGTAAGATTGTAACACTACCAAAAATTATATATGAGGGAAGAGTATCAGATGAAATTCACTCTGCTTAAGGTATATTCTGTTAAAATAATTCTAAGTAAACTAAGTTGCTGTTTTATAGTCTTTAACAGTAACTTTTGAAAGCACAGTGAAAATCGTGGGGTCCTCTGTGCTTTCTGAGCTTGTTTTCTTGCAGATGTTTCATTACTAAACTTGTAACATTATCAGTGCTAGAAGGGAGTAGAGCTTGCTCTCGTTTTATATGCTAGGGGCTTACCCTATAAGTATTGGTAGGAGTGATCTTGGTGATGGATCCTCTACTCATGCAAATATCATCTATTCCAGAACTCATTTTGGAGACTGAATCAAAAGCTTTACGTAGTAGACTAGATGTAAGAATACTGTTCAGAAAAAAACAGCTTTCTAAAACAGTCAAAATAGAAATTGATGATGGCTTTATTCATTTATTTATTTATGGAATATTTTCTCACTTTATGAGAAAGGGAAGAGATTGTCCATAATTCAAAGCAAAACTAAGCAGACAAAACTTGTATGGCTTTTTCAATCACTTTTCTTTGAAATTTGACTAATTTTGATGCTTTGCAAATAATTTTAATTTTATTTTATAAAATTTATTATTTTAATTTTTCATGGTATCTATGTCCATATATATAAATTAAAGATACATTAAAAGGTATTTTAAAATAGATCATTAGAAATGCAATTTTTCTTATAACCTAATAATAAAGATTTAATTTTAACTTGTTTAGGAATCCTTACCAGAGATTCAAGAGGAACGTCGTTTGGTGCTTCAAAAAATTAAAACTATACAAGAAGAAGAACATTTGTTACAAAAAGAGGCTCTCAATATTAGGCTTAAAATTGAACAACTAGACAGTCACATTGCTGAGCATCAATTAAAGATTAAGTATTGGCAAAAGGAGGTAATAAATACTGATAATATTTTTAAAAAATTAACACAAATTACACATTTAGAAAAAGGTCCTAAATGATTGCATATTTCATATAACAGGCATTAAATTATCAACGTATCATATGCTGAAATTTGTAAAAATCAATATTGAAGAAATCAATGGTTTTTATGCTGGGCTTTGTCTCCTGGGTGGAGAAGTGGCAAAGCATGTGCTTTTATAGCATACATGGGTTATACAAGGAAGAGACCTCTGTAGGGACAAATGAAATGCTTCATTCATTATAACCTCCAGAAACTCATTTGGGTAATTTTATTTTTTTGATAGTTATGGGAACTGAGTAAGTGGATTAATATTGAAATTCAGTGGAAACTACTGGAAGTTAAGAGTAGCTCAGAATTAATAAATGTTTATTTATATGATCTTGTCTTAATGGCATCAATACCTTAATTGTATAACAGTTTATATAAAACATCTGTAAGGTTTACCTAAGAAAAAAATTGATTTTCAATTTTCTAAAACTTAGTATAATCCTTTTCCTTGGGTAGGGCATTCTTCAAATTTAGGAACAAAATGAAAAATTATTTGGGAAAGTACACTAATTTTATTAGAATTTTTGTCTATCTTTTGCATTACTGAATTCCTCATTTGTTAACAATTGGACTGTCAAATTTGTTACATTTTCCTGATTCGGTAATTAGTTTTTATGGTCACATTTTCCAGGTGAACTTTTTAACAGTAAGACTTTCAAAATGAAATGCAGCACTTTAAAAACTCCATTAATCACAGTTTAAGAATCTGGGCAAAAATAAACACAATACAGTATATAATCCCCTCTTTAAAATAATTGCTACAGATATGAATGGTAATTGCTCATTCACTGAACTGAATAAAATATATTTTAGATATCAAAGATATCACTGCATTCGATGGAAGATAAACAAACAGAAAACCTTCCAGTACTAACTCAAGATGAACTAGAAAATATTACAGATCCAGATATTATAACAAATCAAATAGCTCTTTTAGAAGCTCAGTGTCATGAAATGAAACCAAACTTGAGTGCCATTGCGGAATATAATAAAAAGGTAAGAATTTTTTCAGTATTGTTGTAGAATTCTTACAAGCTAATGTAGATTAGGTTGTAGTCCCTGGGGTCATGTGATCAAAATTCAGGCATTACAACCCACGCAAACTTCATCTCCATCTATCCACCTAGTTCTTCCCTATCTCTTCTTGATGGGGTTGGCTGCCTTGAATAGCAGCACTCTGTGGCGGCAGCAGCAGCCCTGCACTGCAGCCAGTCACCCCAACACTGGCTGCAAAACAAACCCCAGCCATTTCCTATGCTCCACAATCCTTGCCATGCCCAGTTGATTTTTGCCATCTTTCTCCTACTGCTGCTGAAGTCTACCTTCCTATATGAGGCAGCTGCTGGCCACAGTAGGCCTTGTTCCAAGAGCCATTCAGACCATACTCTAAATTGCATATGCACAATACTTCGGAAGAGAAGCTTTCCAAAGGCTTAAAGCATCGCAAGAATGCCCCATATAATTTCCCCAAGACACTCCAAAGCATTATGAGAATGGCACGCGTGATTTGGAGAATGATGGGTACAGCCTTCTTAAAAGATTTTAGAAGCCCGTACTTTAATTCCAGTACTATTGTCAAGGAGTGCCAGTGTGCAGGGAGACCAAAATGACAGATGTGTATGGGGAAAGTTAAATAAGTTTGAGTAAATTACAGAGGAGGCAGTGTCTTACCATACTGAAGACTGGGCTGGGACGGACCAAGCAATTTGGACTGAAATTTGTAAAGTACATCACATGACCACATTGCTTAGCAATGAAAATCCAGGTAGTCCCAAATGCTGTTATAACCCCATGCAGATCATTAAGTAGGAAGTGGTGGGAGTTCCAGGTAAAGAGTGTGGGTTCTGTAGGGTGGCAGGAGAGGCCTGGCCAAGTTGGGAAGAGGCTGCACTGGGATAGTTGATGAAGGAAAGAGAATATGGATGTGTGAGTGCAGGGAGGTTAAAGGAAGGCGGCATGGCACAGGATGAGTGCTGGGAGGCTCAGGGAAGGAGGTGTGATGCAGTCTGAGTGTTAGAAGACTGAAGGTGGGGATTACCACAGTGACTTGTGACCTTCCCTGCCAGGTTCCCCATTGCCTTTCCTTTTGGAAGCCGGCAGGGAAGATTGCAAATGACAATCGCATGAATGTGGGACATTGAAACAATCTAAGTGCAATTTTGTTGCCAAATGCTCGAATCGCAATCATGTGACCATAGGGGTGCTGGGACAGTCAGATTTCCAAGAATCAGTTGTAAGTACCATTCAGTACCGTGACAACTTCTCTTGTTGAACAGGTGGTCAGTAAGCAAAGACTATCTGTATTAGGATGACATGGCTGTTGTCCAGTATTTCAGCACTGTTAAGCTTCATTGAATTGTTAAATACATTGCTTAATTTCATGTGTACTTGATTTTTAACATTTGTTTTTAGGAAGAGCTGTATCTAAAACGTGTGGCAGAGTTGGATGAAATTACCAACGAGAGACATAAATTCAGAGAAGCTTTTGAAGACCTTCGGAAAAAACGGCTTAATGAATTTATGGCAGGATTTAATGTCATAACAAATAAGCTAAAGGAAAATTATCAGATGCTTACACTAGGAGGAGATGCAGAACTTGAGCTTGTTGACAGTCTGGATCCTTTCTCTGAAGGAATTATGTTCAGGTTGTTATTGCATGTAATATTAATTTAAATTAAGCCATTTTAAAAGCAAGATGTGCAAAGCTAAGTATCAAAGAAATCAAGACTTAACATGATTAATCAAATCTAGTGTTCTTAGATTTCTTAATCTCTCATTTCCTATAGAGGTGATTGAAGGTTTTTGTTATAATTTCAATTCAAGGCAGTTTGCTGTATCATTTTTTTAGCTGAAAATTGGGGTAAAGAAATCTTAATTATGGTTAGTAAAAAATAACTTGAAAATATAGTCTGGGAATCTGGCTTATCTTCTCTTCAGAAAATTGGAATTACAATTAATATAAAAAGAAGGAACGTATATCACCTAATATCAGAGGAAGAAGATAAGAGAAGTATGAAAACTTGAGAATTGGTCGTAGTCTTTGTTTTTTAGGGCTTTGCATTATATTCCAATGGAAACATTTTCTTTACTGATATTGGTTAAAAGTCAAAGAGAATTTGTTAATGTTTTGGAATACTTTATCAGTGTTCAAGAATGAAGGATGTTCTACCTATATTCTTATTTAATGACCACAACAGAAATTTGGTTGTTAAGTATGATCTTACTTCAGCTTTGCATCACTTTACAGGCCTGCAAAGGATTGTGAAGATTGGTCATAAAATTACTTTTTCATCACCATCATAACTGAAAATGGTCACTAAGCAAGGCAATTGCTAATTTGCTATATTTTTAAATGTTGATATTTAGAATAATTGTACTATCACTGAAGTCTGAACTTTTTGTTTTTTTGTGAGCCAGTTTACTATAGTGATAAGGTATTTGACTATGAACAGAGAGACTAATATGTCCTTAACTGGGAAACGTCCTTAGGCCCAGTCACTACCTCTCAACCAAACCTATCTCGCAGGTTTATTGTTTGGGAGAAAATAGTATACTTAGTTATAAATACACATTAAAGAAAAATATTTCAAATACAAGGAATTCCAAATCTGTTCTGAAGAGAATGTGAAGCAAAATTCTAAATGTTTAACAATAGAATTTGGATAAAGTCATATTTTTCATTATAAACCATCTAACAAGTTGGCAAGAAAGTATAGTAAGTTCATAGGGGGTGATGACACGAATGAATTAACACTACATGATGGACGTGGGGATAAAATAAGGACTAAGAATGTGAATCACAAAAACTTGTGGGTTTTTTTTTTTTAACCACAGTAACGATATCTAAATCTTGGCCCCTAATTTGCACTACAAAAATAATGATGATTCTAATGTGTCTGAAGGATTAATGGAAAATTATTGAGATGATAGACATAATGTGCTTTTAGTTTGCTTAAAGCATCTTGGTGTTACAGTGAAATTAAGTAAAGCATACATTTGTGACAATCATCTTTCAGTGTTCGGCCACCAAAGAAAAGTTGGAAGAAGATATTTAACTTGTCAGGTGGAGAGAAGACATTGAGCTCATTAGCTTTGGTTTTTGCTTTGCATCATTACAAGCCAACCCCTCTGTATTTCATGGATGAAATTGACGCAGCCCTTGATTTTAAAAACGTTTCTATTGTAGCATTTTACATATATGTAAGTATTACAGAAGTTAACATTCAAACTTCATATACATTAATATCAAGGGAACAGTAGCTGTACATAAAAGTATTGGGAAAAGCTTTTGAACTTTTTGGAAATGTACACCCCCCACAAATTAAAAAAATGAAATATGAAAATAATTTTTCAGAATGTTAGATTAATTAACAACAGCAAAAACTATGGGTACCGATACTGTAGAAAATGCACATGACCAGTATTTTAGTGAATGTATACTTTATATTGTTTCTTTTCAAAGTAACAATATAAAGTTAAAGTTAAGATATCAGACTAGAAAGAAGTGGACCGTGAGTTCAAGTCCCACCATGAAAACAGCTGGGTGACCTTGAGCCAGTCATTCTGTAATCCCAAATTATCTCACAGGGTTGTTGTGGGAAAAAGAAGAGCAAGGTATGTTGTATATGTCCGTTGCCTTGAGTTATGAATATTAATACAAAATTTATTCCAATTTCCAGGAGCAAACAAAAAATGCACAGTTCATCATTATTTCTCTGCGAAACAACATGTTTGAAATAGCAGACAGACTCATTGGTATTTACAAGACTTATAATACAACAAAAAGTGTGGCAACAAACCCCAAAGTTATTGCATCAAAGGGACTTGCTGAACTTGGTTCCACAGAATGCTACTGAATATGGAATTTTCTTTCAACATTATTTTTTCCTAAGATTTTCCTGAAGATTTGCCAATAATTTAATATCTATTTTCTATAAGTGGTTTTTAAATCTGACTTGTTACTGAGTGTTCATTATCTTAAACAATATAGATCTCTTTAAGTGACTGCTTAAAACAGACAGTTCAGATATGACTTTTGGTAGAAGCACTTAGTGATTAAAATGGTGGATTTTTTTAAAAAAAAATACACGCAGCATATTTTTATTTGAATTTGAAAATAAAATTTTGACAAATTTCTCTGTATATTACAAAAACAGTCTAGTAAATAAATAAGTTGATAAACAGTAAAAATATATATAAATAGCAAGCAGAGGCGAGGCTGTGATATTGTGCTAGCTGCAGTATGGTTCTTGGATTTGGTTTGGCATCTCGGATTTGGGGTTGATTTGACAATTAAAAGCTGCAACAAATAATGGTTAAACAGACTCTGGCTCAAACATTTTGTTAACCCATAATCTAAAAATTATTTCACCAATAATATAAAAATTATTGCTGAAATATGTTCTCACTACATTACAAGTATTGCAGAACAAGACACTCTTAATAATGGACAATGGCTGCAATGCAAGGAAAATCACATGTTTCTTAACCAGACTTAATAACCATCAAGTGGATGGTGCTTAAATAAGTTGCTTCCCTTAAATAAGCTGGTAGAAAACTTTTTGTCTCAATGTCCCCAGTTTGGCAGTTTCCCAAAAAGTTTTTTACTCATCCTGGAAAACTGCAGCTAAGGTCCTATCCTGTGCTGGCTCAGATTGTCTTTATAATAAAATCTCTATGGTAGCAATCCCAAGAATTAGGGCAGGGGCCAAGTCCAGAATACATTCTAGGCCACTTGCTAGCTGTTGCCATTGGACCAGTTGTCTCTGCCATGATTGCTGTTGCCATTGGGCTAGTTGTTGTACTGTGATTGCTATTGCTGGTCCTGTTACTCCCACCAGCTCAGGCAATTATTTGTGACAGCGATGAACAAATGGTTCTTTAGACCAGTCCTCAGAAGTTCCAGCTGTTGCAACATCTCTACAGTCATGTGATTGTGATCCAGGTGCTTGGCAACTGGATCACATGACAGCCATTTGTAACCTTTGCTGGTTTGTCCCAAGTGAAGTCAATGTGGAAGGAGGCAGGAAAGGTTGCAAATCATTCCTGTAAGCCACTCCCATTTACAATAATGGACCCCATTATGTAAGATCCCAGGGATCTTGTAGTCTATAGTGCAGTGATGGTGAACCTTTTAGAGACCGAGTGCCCAAAAACTGGCCCCTCCCCTGCCCCGCCCCTGCCTGCCCACAGGACCACTCACCGCCTCCAGGGCCCAGCGCAGATTGCCATGGCAGCCTAGCAGTGCCATGGCAACCACACCCTCTGTCCGCGCCCCACAGCATCAACTGCGTGATGGGGTGTGAGAGCAGAGTCTTGTCTATGCTGCCTGGCTGCCCTGTCCTTGGCTGTGCTGCTCTGTGTGGGCCACACTCAGGGGCAACTCTCCTCCAGGGGTTGCTGGTGGGGTCATAGGGGGAGGCGAGGCTGGAGCAATGGCACGTGTGCCCACAGAGGGCTTCAAGTGCCATCTCTGGCACGCATGCCATAGGTTTGCCACCACTGCTACAGTGCATACTAGCACCACAGTATCATCCTTTTCCATACATACACACTAGTACTGCAATACCCCTACCCCCAGACTCACTCTAGCACTCACCCACTCACGAACCTGCTTGCAAGCCTCTTGGGACTTTCAGATTCCTGCCGGTTTCCCCTTTACTTGTGGGACGCTGACAAAAAGTTACTAGTTGGGAGGTCCTCGCTTAAAGAGAGCAACAGAGACTAACTGGATTACCATTGCTAAGCAATGTAGTCATATGATGTGCTTAGTGATGGAAATTCCAATCCCATTTCCCATCATTAAATTACTTGTATAGATTATGCTGAAGCTTTACAAAATGGTTTGAGTTTTACTTCTGGAGTTCATTCCTTCTGTGAGACGGGTGGCTTTGAAGGCCCTAGTTTGGTCTTACCTGGGTTCTGAAGAAAAAATGTCCTGGAACAACCTCCTCCACTTGAGCTTTATCTTATATTATCTTTTACCATCAAGAAAGCATTGTTCATAGAAAAGGAGAATAAAGAATATGATTTTTGCACGTTTTCCTTTAACTCCATGTTTTTGAATTGAAATAAAATGAATCTTCATAGTAATTTTAAAATTGCTTGTAATATTCCATGTTTCCCAACAAATTAAGGGTGTTCCCAAAATAGAAAAGCAGGTTTATTTCAAACCTGAAACAAATATCACCTTCTCAAATGTTTTACAAAACATTTCAGATAAGCCGCAGTTTGGTAGAAATAAAACTTGGATGTAGGGTGGTGGTCTGGGTTTTGCCTCAAACAAATCATGGGAATTGCCGAATAATTATAAACAGTGATTGTGACAAGGATGGTAGGCATGAAACCTGGTTAGGTGACTTTGGGGTCAGTCACTCTCAGTCCAACTCACCTCACAGGGTGGTGGTTGTGGGAAAAATAAGAGGAAGGAATATAAGGTATGTTCATTGCCTTGAGTTATTTATAAAAATAATAAAGGCAGGATAAAAAAAATCTTTAAAAAATTAGTCATGCTCTACAGCAGACATGTGAAACTCACAAAGTCAAGTGACGTCGCGCAACGTATTGGGACTGTTTTGCCATTGTCAGCAATGGAGTGGGCGCGGCTTCTGCGTGATGTGTCCAGCCCACGGACTGGCAGTTTGACACCCCTGCTCTACAGTGAAATGCAGAAACAATTTCTAAGCAACAAAGATAGTTAACAAAATTTAAATAGAACTCTACACTTGGACGTAATGCTCACCTCACACAAACCTCTATATCAATAAGTGAGAATGAGAACCATCAGATCTGGACATTAAATTGAGTACTGGACACAGAGTAGAGTATGATGGGCAGATAGATGGTAGAGTACGATGGGCAGATGGATGAGTTACTTGTTCTTTCCACACTTAACCCCTGGCTCTTTCAGAGTTCTGAATGTAAACAGTAGTCTATTGCTAGGCAGGCTTCTGTTGGCTCAGAGCCAAGGTTCTTAGGATAAAACTCAACCAACTGCAGCTCTCACAAGAAATTCTAAGCCGTCTCTGAATGTTTTCCTGGCAGTGTCAGATGAAACCCTTCATCTTCACCTTTGGAATTGTACCAGTTTTAAACTTTTATCACAGAAGACAATTTTTAAATCTGCTTTTTGCAGTTAGTTTGATTTGCAATTGGACAAAGAGAGGATGATTAGGTGCGTGCAAGCTGAGATTCAGAGATTCCATTATGGTGAAGTAGCAACTTCTTTACTATAGAAATTTTGGATCGGCAGTAGTTGATCCCTTCTGTAGGATTGAAGGATCTATTACATCAATTCCATTCTTGAAACTTTTAAGACATTCTAGGGATTCTTGTATTCTGGAAAGTTTTTTGCTGGCAGGGTTAGTGATCCTGTCATAGCAGTGTTCCTGATTTCTATATGATATGCACTGTAAAGACAAAACATAGCATAAGGACTTAAGAGGTTCATATTGAGTTATGGGATAAATGAAACATTGGGATTTTCTTCTAGATCACTAAAACAAACTTTTCTCTCATTTGTAGTGTCTGCAACTGTCAAGATTAATAGTAAACACATTTATAGATTCCTCGTGCCCCTGCTACAAGGTGTACTTTAGGCTAGATTTGTTGTTTAAAATTATCGAGTTGTATTTATTTTTCTTTGAAGAGGATCCATTTCTCTGGGGTTGGGCAGCATCCAAATTCGGTAAAATAAATAAAATGCATTGTCCCCCAAATTCAGGAATTGTAACCACCATATTAAAGCAAATCACAAATGATATTTGCATTTAAATCTAACATAGAGAAACAAACATGCATATTGAAAAGATACAATGGTGTTTCTCATCAGTTACAATCTGTCTTACCCAAGAACAGTTTATTTTTTTACACATTTAAAATAGCTTCAGAAATAAATTAATACAATTATAGCTGAATGATTTTTTTATTAATTAAAAGTACAAATTCTGAAATTCTGAATCTTGCAAAACCCACTACAAATTTAAAAATGTGAATGAGAACCAATACTGAGGATAGAGATTACAAATTCCAAAAAAACCTCCCTGATCATCATGCGGCTGCTATAAACCATATATGGTATGAGTAACAGAAAAGAGGCTACTACATTATTTAAAATATATTTTCTACCAGGCTCTTGTGCTCTATGTTTGTTGAACCAACTACAGTTAAGGATGATGACAATATTTACTCTGAAACCACATTTATAGTTTACATTTATTCCTTTTTAGTAATCTCATTTTATGTGGTAACAGCTAAACATCTGTTTTTGCAACATGAAAACATGTTAAACAAGTCCATTAATCTTTATAGAAAATTTGTTAAACCCCACAAACTATTCTGAAGAAGCTGATAGGCTCTGCTATTTTGGTCATTTAATCATTTTCACTGCCATTTGCAGTGAAAAATTGCCAAGACCAGTTCATTATCATTTTCATTTTAAAAAGTATGAAAACCCTTCTGGCAATTTATGATAATTCTGTCAGGTAATGCCAGGTTTATTTCCTGGAAAGTTCACTCTCTCACTATTTAATATTCTACTGTCTTCCAAGAAAAATTAAGGCCTCAGTGAAATATGTATGTAAAATAGGAAGCAGTTATAGGATCATTATTAAAAGAACTATAATGCTTGTTTGAAGTGACAGGCTCAAATCTTTGTGAAATTAAAACTGGAACCCCTGGGAGATTTATTGCAAATGCTGATCATTAAAAAATTGTAAGCTTTATGAAAGCTGAGATGACGTAATATAAATTTTAAATGTTAAGACTAGAAATATAACTTGTTTCCCTACTTGTCAAGATAATCTCTCTCTATAAGAGAGTTAATAAAAATATTTTTTGTCTTTCTTAGGCATGCCATTTGAAACTGAGTAGAAATTGTTAGATGTTTCATCTAACTTTCCTTTTTTCATAAGTAAACACATATAGTCTCCAATATTTATTCCTAACAGGAAAAGCAATTTAAAATAAAGTTTTAGGATAATTAGCACTAATAATTAGCATTAATATATAGTGTATAAAACTATGCATGTGAAGACAACAAGAATATGACCGGAGTAAACCAAGTCAAGTCAAACATTACTTTGATCCCCAAAGAAGAGAATATTTGTAGCTTGAACTGTAAGGTCCCTGGTACCATCTAAACTTGTTCTGCAGACATTTCATTACACAACTAAGGTAGTAACACCATGGTTGCTAGAAGTGAATGGGGTTTGCTCTATGTTTATATACAAATGTCTTGCCCTATCACTGTTGGTGGAAGTGTTCTTATGGTTGATTATGTTACCTAGGGTTCATTAACTTGCAAAACTGCAAAAAAACAAAACAAACCTTGATTCTCACACAATTTTTACATGATCTTCTGTTGGCCAGAGATTACCCCTGCATGATATTGAGAACGGAATTGAATATTTATCCAAATAGTACAGGCTGTTACTCGCCTATTTGCAGTGCTAGGTAATTTTATCCTCTGACGCACCTGACAAAAGACATTGATATCAATTAAACCTTAATTTAACATCAAGCTAAAATTAAATCCATTAGAATTCAGATATTTTTCTTAACAGGGCAAAAAGTTGCTATCAAAAGCAAAAATATTATTCAATTAAATCAGGGGTGTATCATAGTGTTTTCCACTGCTATGTGCAATCTTTTACTTAAATCTTGATAAATTATCTGCAAGGTATCAAAAATATATGGAAAAACTATTTTATTTATGAATGTTAATATATGTTGGCTAAAAGCAACAGTAAGAAAAATAAAAGAAATTAATATAATTGCCAAAGGACTTAAGGACCAGAAGGATTTTTTAGCTGGTCTAGTCTCATTGTCACAATCCTGGGTATACACTTTTTGCTTTGAAATTAGCTTTATTTTGGGAATGAGAATTTTGTTAATCTGATTAAGTTCACTTTTGCTCCACACATCTTTTAATACCTGTCCTATTCGAGGGTGGATTTCAACTGGCTTAATCGTTGGTAATGGTTTTTCCCTCAAAGATTTAACACGCTGACGTATTTCCTCAACTTTCTCCAGAAAATGAAGAGGAGACTCTTCCTCCTGAAATGATGTATTCAGTGACATTAGTTCAAGTTGTTCTTCTCGTATTCCTTTCAACATTTCTATGAGAGGTTCATATTCTGTCTCAATCTGCATATTTACATCATCCAGAGCTGCAAGTAAAGCTTGTTTTTTCTGATCAAGGACATCTCCGAGTCTCTTAAAATATTGCAAAACTGTTTTTTTATCCTCCTGAACAATGCTCCCACATTGAGCTTTCTGTTCTTCAAGATTCTGAATAAGCAAACAAACTTCACTCCAATGTTTGTCTGTCAACTGCTCAAGGAGTCTTCCAGGAGTTTCTTTTTCTTTCATATAGGCACTTTGTAGATCATCTATAGGATGGCCATGATGTTTTCCTATTGTAAGACAATGGCCACACACAAGCTTTCTGTCTAGCAGACAGTAAATATTTAATGGCTGTCTATAATGTTCATTGCAGGTAGCAACTTCAGGATGATCCTCTTGTTGATACTTTTCAATAATAGCCTTTAATGCAAAGTTTACAGGCAAAGATTCAGTACCAGATGGAGGAATTTCAACAATACTTCTACAGTTAGGACACTTCAGAGGAAGCCTTAAAGGTCGCCATATGGAAAAATTGCTTGATATCTGAAGAATACTTTCCAAACAATTTCTACAAAATGTATGTGAACATGGCAGTACACGAGGATCATCAAATATACTGTAGCAAATAGAACAAGTTAATTCCTCTTCAAAATAATGCATTTCCTAAAATTAAAAAAAAATGAGATAGAAATGTAAAATGATTAAGAAATATTAAAATACTGATAGTTCAAAGGAATTAGCTATTACATGATTTAAATGCAAATCTTTAAAAAAATACAAGCAGAATTAGCCAACACAATAAATAATACATGATTAATTCCCACTTTATCTCTTTGGTGTAAGATATTAACCTAATTACTATTTATTTCTAATATTAAATTTGTCTGTAGTATCCAGACCAGACACGTCAAACACAACAGCCCTCGGGCCAGATCCGGTCCACAATGGGCCTAGTTCTGGCCCACAGGGTTGCCCTGGAGAGTCCATGCCACCGTCCGGGGGACTCTCGCATGGTCTGAGAAGGACAGCGAGGCTCCTCTGATGGACGAGGTCCCATCCCCCTCTGCTGCAGATCCCAGGATCCTCCCACAGTCCTGTCCAACCCTCAAGGTGCCCCTGATGCAAGCGACATTGAGCCGGCTGTGCCCACCTTGCCCAGCCAGCCAGCCATGCCCAGCCAGCCATGCGCCCACCTGACGGCAACCACAATGCTGATGCGGCCCTCAATGAAATCGAGTTTGACATCCCTGATCTAAACCAAAAAAAAAAAAAAAAAATCCAAAAATTAACAATAAAATGTTAACAAGAAATGCTTTGCATCTTACACACATTTCATCATTCCATTATTTTTAAAATTAGTTTAACTACTAAGCTTTTATTAGATTTACAGTCAAAGTAAAATCATGAAATAATAATTCAAGAACATAGTGGCAATTTAGCATTCTGCTTTAGTTACCATGTTTTAAGCTAAGCTTAATATTTGTGGGTATAGCCCAGGGGTAGGCAACCTTGGCTCTTTTATGACTCAAGGACTTCAACTCCCAGAATTCTTGAGTCAGTATGGCTCAGCTTGGAAACCTCTCTTTCCCCTCAGCATGACTGGCTCAGGAATTCTGGGAGTTGAAGTCCATGAGTCATAAAAGAGCCAAAGTTGCCTATCCCTGGTATAGCTCAGGGCTTCAGAGAACAAAAACAATACATAAAACTGCCACTATAAAAACAGATAAAAATCTATAAAGCCTGAGTTATTAATATCACAAAAACAAAAGTTGTTTTTTAACTTCCAATAGAGAACAATGCCACTGAAATCCAATTGGTCAAGTAATTAAGCAGGAGCACTCCAAGTCCAACTTGAGGTTGCTTTTTGGCAACATGGGATGAGAAGGCTGGACAAAATTGATCTACTATTCTTATAGATTGATTTTTGTAATTAAGCATTGTTCACTTATTTGTGAAGCAAAAACGTGATTGTTTCGAGAACTGTACATATTTTAGAGAAAGGCAGTTATATTGGGCCAATTGTAATAGAACTTTCAAGTGTCATATAACACTTGAAAAGCTATTGTGTCCACATTTACACATTACAGGTAGAACTGCACACAGTAAACTCTTAAGCAAGACAACAAAGATTTTCAAACAGAAGTAAACAGGTTTCATAGCATAGAGCCTTCTCAGAGAACATACTTTAATCTTTGTTGATCTTCCTCCTAACAATTTTCAAGGCATTTATTATTCACAAGTGAAGAAAGAGCCATAGCAACATTTATCACACAACACTCCCGACAGATGGCCCCACCCAGCCAGCCCACTTCTGGGGCCAAAGTTCTGCAAAGTTCTCCATTCGGGCCTGCATTTTGCAGTCAGGCCTTTCAAGGAGGCCTAAGCAGCTGAGTACCGAGGTATGGATTCAATCCATAGCTTGGTGCTCGGCTTCTGAGGTCTTGCAGAACTGAGCTATGGATTGAATCCATAACTTGATTCTTGGCTGTGCAGGCCTTCCAGAAAGCCCTGTGACTGAGAAATGTAGGCCTGGCTACAGAAGAGGCCTCAGAAGAAGAAGTGGGCTGGCAAGGAGAGGCCTGGCTGCAAGGAAAGTGGGTGTGGGGCAGGTGGGGCAGCTCCACATCCCCAGCCCAGCTTGATTTTTAGGTGTATGCCTCACCCCAAAACTAGGGCTTATTTTTGGTATAGGGCTTATATTAGGCCCACTCCCAGAAATCAAGCTAGGGCTTATTGTTGGTGTAGGCATTACTTTCAGGGAAACACGGTATTCTACTCAAGATTACAAGTGGCAAATTTAACAGATATGCATCACTAGAATATTAATAATTTTATTAAGCTTAATTTCATGTAAAACATCAATTTGATCACCTGTCTGTGATAAGATTCAATGTAATATTTCAAGAAATGATACAATCATTTAATATAATATAACCTTCCCATATTATCATCTTTCCATGAGGGAAGAAAGTTTGAGGAAAATTGTAATATATAAAGTGACATGCATATTTTTTAAGTTCCTAATATAAATAAGTGAATACTACTACCAATGCATCCCCATGTTTTGAGGTTCAATAAAAGGCAAGAATAGATACACCAAACTCTAGATCAAATAGGAACAAGAGGAAGAGAGGTCAATGATAAATGCCTGAGACCCACCTTCAGAAGGTGTTAATATTTCACAAAGGAAAAAAAGGACTATTTTTGCATTTAAAAGTTATACTCTGTGTGACACCTAGGAATTGTATAGCTCTGATACTGTAAAATAGTCTTACATCGTGCTACTGAATTGTTTTTAAAAAATCATTTTGGAAATAAAGACTGGGTAGCACTATTCAAAAGCATTTCCTCTTTTCTAGATTTTCCTCCTTATTGGCATATTTTAATGGAAAGACTCTTCAAAGGAAGGGAAAAGTAATCTGGAGGCATTGTATTATTTTTAACAATTTATTAGATTTTTATCCTGCCTTTATTGCTTTATAAGTAACTCAAGGCAGCAAACATATATAACTACCTAGTAGGGCTGTATTATTATTATCCTTTTCATCCTTCCTATTACCTATTCCTTATTTTCTTATGACTATAACTTTGTTGCTTGTATCTTATGATTTATATTGTTTTATTTAGTATCCTAATATGATTTATCTTGCTTATTTAGTATCCTATGACCATCACTGAGTGTTGTATCTTGCGATTTATGATGAATGTTTTTTTATGATTATAATAATGATTTATCGCTTATTGCTTATATGTACATTGAGAGCTTATGCACTGGAGACAATTCCTTGTGTGTCCAATCACACTTGGCCAATAAAGAATTCAATTCCAATTCTAATCTATTCTTTCTCCTTCCCCTTCCTGCTTCACTCCCCCACAACCCTGTGAGGTGGGTTTAGTTGAGAGTGAGTGATTAACCCAAAATCACCCAGCCAACTTTCATGCCTAAAGTGAGACTGGAACTCAGTCTCATTGTTTCTAGGCCAGCATCTTTACCAGCAGTCCTCAGTCTCCATCCCCAAGCATCTAAATGTTTGACTACAACTCCCAAAATTACAAACCACAATGACCAAATGAACCAAATAAACAATCATATGTTGTAAAAACAGAAGACTAAGGAAAGCTGTTTTCATATTCTTAACAGTTTTATCAATGTATGATCACTGTTAATTGGTGATGGCCAAAAATGCAGATAGTATTAAAAGTACAAATAAATGGAAGATCCAACTGGAATAGCTATACATTTTGAAGGCTCACAGATAGAAAACTAGCACTGGTAGAAAAGAACTATAGGCAGTCCTCAACTTAACAACCATTTGTTTAGTAACCATTTAAAATTACAATGGCACTGAAAAACATATGACCATTGCAGCATCCCTATGATCAAAATTCGGATGGTTGGCAACTGGCGTGTATTTATGACAGTTGTACCGTCTTGGGATCATGTGATCACCATTGGTAACCTTCCCAGTTGGTTTCCAACAAGCAAAGCCAATGGGAGAAGCCAGATTTATTTAATGATAGATTCACTTAACAACTGCAACAGTTCGCTTAAAAACTGTGACAAAAAAGGCTATAAAGTGGAGCAAAACTCATTTAATTGCCTTGTTTAGTAATGGAAAGTTTGGGCTCAATTATGGTTGTAAGTCGAGGACTAACTATACTGCTTGCAAATTTTCTGAATTCATCTAGTTGGCCATGAACCAGCCAGAGAAACCTGAACTGATATTAATCCCACATTAAAACAAAAGGAGGAAAGAAAATGGACTAAGGAAAAATATCCTTACGAGTTACACCTGTTAGGATCGCCTCTTCCCCACATAGTTACATGCGAGGCAAAGCCTCCCACTGAAAGAGCACCTTGTCTAAAGAGAGAGATGATCGTGACAATCACCAGAAAAAAAGTCACACAGGGCGATTGGAGTTTAGCGATGAGCACAAGAACAAGGATGCGGACAACCCCTGCTTTTAAGTAAGCTGTCAGCTCCAGAAAACAAAGGTTTTAGTTAGAAAACTAAGACCTCCAAGGTCCCTTCCAGCTCTATTCTAAAGATACGAACAGTCCGATAAACGTCCTCTTCGCAAACGAAGTCACTAGTGTAGCTCGTCCCTCTCCACACACAGGCCACTGAGGGGCACAACAGCAGTAACGGCCAGGGCCTGAACCCTTCCTCGGTTCGTTCTTAAGCAAACAGGCACGGCGCCGATTCTTTCCCCCCCCCCCCCGCCCGCCGTCGAAGTTCACCTCAGCCTCCCGCCGGATTCCTGAACCGCCAGCAGGCCACCCGTTCCCCCAAACTTCTCCTGCCGCGGCGAATGAGCTCCCCCACCGGAGACGGCATCGGCGGCCTCCTAATGATGCTCCTCCAGCTGCCTCCAATCAGAATCAACAGAAAAAGAGAAAAGAAACGGCCGGCCGCTTCGCTGCTGCGCACGCGTTGAAAGAAGCCAACGTCCTCAAGCCAATCAAAGTTTTCGGAAGGTTTTGTTCAAAAACGAAAGGATCGAGGCGGGAGGGTGGGCTGCGATGCATTTCACCGCGAGATGGCCGTTAACGGTTGCCTGGGTGGGCGGTGCTCGTACGTAATTTGTATGTCTTTGTTGTTGGGCCCGGCTTATCCGCCCGAGGTGTTCTTCTCCTGACGATTTTCTGGAAGACTAAGAAACAAAACGCTCGGATCTGCCTTTCAAACGTTTGAGATTTTAAAATGAGGCGGAAATTACACGCACGGTCGAAACCATGCCGAGATGCTACGAAGTTTGTCTAATTAAGTATGCTATGGTGATGATCGGTAGCAGTGCAGCAAAACAGTTTGCACTGTTTTGTTGCTAAGACTGGATCTGACACCTTTCGCTGGGGAGCCTGGACTGCCCCAATAGGAGTTCAGGTGATGCACTAGGAGCAACGAGACCCGGATTCAAGTACAGTGTCACTTCACTGGGTGGCTTTGGCCAATCAATCATGGCTCTGAGCCCAAGCTATCCCACAAGGGTGTTTACGGAAAAACGGAGGAGGGGAATGCAAGGTAACTCCTATACTAAAAGATGAAAATCTAAAAAAACGAAGTCTCTGACTTGATTGGCATCCTTGATATTTTTACCAGTATATTCGATAAATTATTTTCATCTTTTGCAATAATCTTATTGAAGACTATATGAAATAGATAAAAACAGATGCAAAAAAATCCTAAAAAAACAATACATCAAAA